GACACACACACACACACAGACACAGGCACAGATACAGACACAGACACAGACACAGACACACACACCACACCCACACACACACAGACACACACACACAGACACACACACACAAACACACACACACACACACACACACACACACACACACACACACAAACACAAAAACACACACACACACACACACACACACACACACACACACACACACACACACACACACACACACACACACACACACACACACACACACACACACACACACACACACACACACACACACAAACGAAACAACAAATACAAGTTGCACCCAAAAGGGGCAACCATCGCCCCCCAAGCCCGACGGGCCAAATCCTCGAGGCTCCGGCCCTTGACGGGTGGACCTCGGTAGGAATCGTCGGCCATGTGGATGTCCTGAGCTGTGGGGGGCCAAGGCCACCCTTCGGGTGATGCAGGGTCGACACCCAAGGCCAAGGAGTGCCTGGTAAGAATATGGCTCCGACTTGGCCTCTCAGGCAGTGACGAAAAGCCTGCGAGTTTCGCGAATTCAAGTTGCCAACTGCCCAAAAAGTGTCCAAACCAAGAACGGGAATGTGGTTTCCAGGGGGGTAGTTGGTCTTGCTGCGAAGCATCCCTTTCATCGTCTTCACATTCATCTTCATCGTCAGGATCTCGAAAGGTAGCCATCGATCTCGACGGGCGCGAGCAGCCAGGTTTCAGCCTACTGTTGTGACAATATGACTGAATAACAAATGAGGAAAGGTAAACTGTCTGCAACTGGCATGTCAAGGTCAGAATGTGTTCCCAGCTTATGACATGCTGTGGGTTTGAAGGAGAGGCGCTAGCCTCAATGATTCCCCCGCAAACCCAAAGGGCAGAAATGAGAGTCACGCGTTTAGAGCGGAGTTACCCGTATTGTACTTTTGTGAGTTTAGGGCTTGGTCCCTTTGGTAAAACCCTTGGTAGTCAACATTACCTAAAACCTACAACAATTTAATGACTTTCCGATATGAAACAGGTACTGCTTCCGCAAGTTTTGCTGAATGCCAGCAACAGCTAGGATACGACCCAGTTCTTTCCGGGCATTCGATTTTCCCATAGAGTCCGTGTGCTGCTTCAGCTCATTGTCCGACAGCTCTGAGCCCAGTGGCTGAGGTACGCTTCACAGGACCCCCCCCCCACCCCGCAATTGCCAGCACCAATGGTTGAGAGAAAAGCACAAATGGGTGGCTTTCTTTTTAAGCGACACCCCCCAACGGTGGCCCGACTTTGTCCGAATTGCGATTCCTGAGCCTGGAAAAGTGGGGGACATATGGGGGGATCAAGGGCCGGAAAGTGCTTCTTTCCATGCAGGTGAGATTCTATCGAGCTTTGAACGCCCCCTTGCTTTCCGCAAAAGGCTGCGATACATACAATGCAAGATGCAAGTTTCCATGCGTATCGGGGGTGCGTATTCCCCCAATTCAGCTTTACCAGACTGGACACATCATCTTTGTCATTAAATTCATTTGTTTTTATATATATATATATATGTATATATCCGCCGACATTGCTCGGCGTGTCGGATACTTACTAGAGGATAGAGGATAACCCCCCCCCTAACCCCCCCCCGCCCGACGTCTATTACGTAGGTTTTTGGGGGGGGGGGGTCCCCCACGTACCGCGCGGCAATTTGATGACGTTCCACTAAACGTAGTCTTCGGGGAGCCGGTGTCGCAAAACAGGGGTCCCAGGCTCGATTCCCCCTGCCGGCTTTTTTGCTGGCTTGGGCTTCCTGCATCCTTTTGCCGAAAATCTGAAAAAACTCAATGTTTTTGGACGTCCTCTTTGCGAAAACGCTGGAAAAACCGTGTTTTTTTGCGGGAAATACTGGGGAGCAAAGGGGAAGTGCAAGGATACATACATACATACATACATACATACATACATTACATACATACATACATACATACATACATACATTACATACATACATACATACATACATTACATACATTACATACATTACATACATACATCATACATACATACATACATACATACATACATACATACATACATACATACATACATTACATACATACATACATACATACATACATACATTACATACATACGTACATACATACATACATGCATACATACATACATACTTACTTACTTGCTTACTTACTTGCTTACATTACATACATACATACATACATACATACATACATACATACATACATACATACATACATACATACATACATACATACATACATACATTACATACATACATACATACATACATACATACATACATTACATTAATTACATACATACATACATACACACATACATACATACATAATACATATACATACATACATACATACATACATACATACATACATACATACATACATACATACATACATACATACATACATACATACATACATACATACATTACATTACATTACTTACATACATACATACATACATACATACATACATACATACATACATACATACATACATTACATACATACATACATACATACATACATACATACATACATACATACATACATACATCATTACATACATTACATACATACATACATACATACATACATACATACATACATACATACATACATACATACATACATACATACATACATACATACATACATACATTACATACATACATACATACATACATACATTACATACATACATACATACATTACATTACATTACATTGCATTACATTACATTACATTACATTACATTACCTACATTACATACATACATACATACATACATACATACATACATACATACATACATACATTACATACATAACATACATAACATACATACATACATACATACATACATACATACATACATACATACATACATACATACATACATACATACATACATACATACATACATACATACATACATACATACATTACATAATTACATTACATACATACATACATACATACATACATACATACATACATACATACATACATACATACATACATAAATTACATAAATTACATACATACATACATACATACATACATACATACATACATACATACATACATACATACATACATACATACATACATACATACATACATACATACACTTACATACATACATACATACATACATACATACATACATACATACATACATACATACATACATACATACATACATACATTACATACGTTACATACATACATTACATTACATTACATTACATTACATTACATTACATTACATTACATTACATTACATTACATTACATTACATTACATTACATTACATTACATTACATACTACATACATACATACATACATACATACATACATACATACATACATACATACATTACATACATACATCCATTACATACATACATACATACATACATACATACATACATACATACATACATACATACATACATTACATACATACATACATACATACATACATACATACATACATACATACATACATTACATACATACATGCATACATACATACATACATTACATACATACATACATGCATACATTACATCCACACATACATACATACGTACATACATACATACATGCATGCAGACATACAACATACATACATACACACATACATTGCATACATACATACATACATACATACATTACATTACATTACATTACATTACATTACATTACATTACATTACATTACATTACATTACATTACATTACATTACATTACATTACATTACATTACATTACATTACATTACATTACATTACATTACATTACATTACATTACATTACATTACATTACATTACATTACATTACATACCATACATACATACATACATACATACATACATACATACATACATACATACATACATACATACATACATACATACATACATACATACATACATACATACATATACATACATACATACACATACATACATACATTACATACACATACATTACATTACAGATTACATACATACATACATACATACATACATACATGCATGCATACATACATACATACATACATACATACATACATACATACATACATACATACATACATACATACATACATACATACATACATACATACATACATACATACATACATACATACATATGTACATGCATGCATACATACGAGAGAGGGAGAGTGGGGAGAGAGAGGCTTGGGGGGATGGGGAGGATGGGAGCAGAGGGAGGGAGAGAGGACGACAGAACACACAAGGGAGACGAGGAAGAGAGGAAGAAGGAGAAAAGGGAGAGGACAATGTCGGCGGACTGAGCCGGAGGCTCTAAAGTATATATATAGATATATATATATATATATATATATATATTATGGGGGTTCCCCTATTTGAGGACAAACCCATACTGAGTCTATGCCATATTTCAGGAGGCCCCCGGAAAGCTCACGGACCCGGAACCCACCAATTCGCCGGAGGCCACGGCTCGGTGGCACTTGTCGCGGACCTTTTCCAGCACCTGGAGCACTCGAGGCGTCGGGCGCCCTCGAGGCGTCGGGCGGTCTCCACTTCAGCACACATATGCCTTCCCACCAACTAACATGGAACCGTTCGACGTTCGAAGAGGTCCTGGCTTGGAGCACGTTCACTTGAAACGGACCCATCAGGTTCCATGTGAATTGGTGGGAGCCTACTCCATTTTCCCTTGAGTACTAAATTATGAGTTCCATCCTCCAAACCGAACCTCTCCAAATCCACCCGGAGCCACAAATCGAACTCCCGGCCTCGTCTCGGCGGTTGTCCCCAGCCAGCACCTGCCGGGTTCAAAGGCTGGGCCCAAAGAAACGGCCGCAGGGGAAAATGTCCGTGTCCCTTGGCCGTGCTCAGCCAAATGCTGGCTGATATTTTTTGCACCCCCAAAAGGAAAACTGATCCACAGCCCAAGAAACCAAACACCAAATCACAAAAACATGGCAACAACAGAGGTTTAACCTACTTGCTGGCCCAACTTGCTGAGGATAACCTAGGTTACTAGCCACTTAGTGCAGCTTCCCTCTGACAGGTTTGGAGGCTTCCCTCCACAAAAGCCAGGCCAACGACTAAGGCTTCCCTGACTTGCCAAAGCTCCGAGGTTAGCGGCTTGACGTGGGCTGGAGTGGAGTTTGTCTCCCCCAAAAAGGGGGAATCCCAGAATGCAATACAAACATCACATTCGATGATTTGATTGAGCCGCCCTTAACTTGTCCCACATTTGGGGTACTCCAAACACAACATTTGTTGATTCTGTTTCAATTTTAAGCCCAATGTTGACCTCAGCTTGATCAACTCAATTTGTGTCCCTGGGTGAGCTGTGGGGAATAACTGTTGGACGGAACCCCACCCCCCGTGAATGGGACAAGACATATTTCAGTAGTGCCTTCTGGATTTGGTTTCAGAAGTAAGGTTCAAATCATGTCAAATCCAACCTTCTCAACTCCAAACCCATTGGAATGATCCCAAAAAAAAAACCATCCCCTATGGCTTCGTTCAAAGCCCCTACATTTCCTCCCACAAACATGGCGTCTGTGGGAGGGTACCTGGAAAGTCAACATTTCCTTTACAAGGGACCCTTTGTCAGGTGCCATGTGAGTGGGAGTGAGGGTATCTAAGCATGATTAGAGTTAGACCCCCATAGAGAATGTACATTTTATAGTTTGCTTCACTTTGAGTCACTAGCAACATGTAAAATGTATGCTAAGTCTACCCCAGTAAAATCGTTGTTCTGCGAGACCCGGCGCTTCCCTCGCTGGCCTCACAGGCCTCACGGCGGCCCAGCAGGCGCAAGCCCTCCCGAAGGCCTCTCCACCGACCCTTTTGACTCAGGTGTCCAATCGAAAACCAGCAAATTCACTGGTTTCGGCCATGGGTCCTTAGGTGGTGCGAACATTTTCGTCCATCAGTAGACAAACAAACTTACCCGCATCTAAGACTCAAATGATCCCAGATCACTACTCCCAGAAGCCAAAGGACATGTAAAAAGTATGCAAGGGTTATATATATATATATATAACGGTTGTAAAGCACACTTGCCAGCGGCTCCCTTTCAACCAGTTGGACAGCATGTCATCTTAACCCTGGCATTTTTGCGGGGGTTTCTTTGAGGGGTGACGTAAAAACCACAAGCAAAAAGGCAGGGGTCACTTTTTGTTCATTTGATTGCTTTTTGCAGGGGATGTGGGTTTACGTTGTTTTTTTGATTTTAAGGGGAAACCACAAAGAACCAACCTGTTGTGTTTTTTCTTGGGGGGGTCACTGGATTTCCCCTTCAAAAGTTGATCAATTTGCTGGTGGTTTCCATTGAACATGCCACTTTTGCAAATTCTAAAACGGGAAATGGAGAAACCCCTGCAAGATGATCACATTTTTGAACTACTAAACTCGGCCGCGCACACAATGGGGAAACCAAAACAGCAATTCAGGTCGTTTGCTTTGGGGTGATTCTCAACATTTGTGGATGGTTACAAAGGCCTATCGGCACCAGCTGCGACTGCAATTAGGTCCATCGAGCAGATGTCTTGGTGTTGAGACTGGCATTGCATAAAACAAACTCCACCTTGCTCCAGTTGGAAGGTGCTGAATTCCCCCCAATTACTCCACTGCTGCAGTTTCAGTGAAACATGTGACGTGCTTATACGTGCTTGCAAGGCTCCTTGAGAGCCTCGTGAACTCCTCTGTTTTAGCAGGTCTAAGAAGGGGGCTCCCGAGCACCTCCCGTGAAAGTCATTTTTTTTCGCTGGCTTTAAGCTGGGCCCTGCTAAAAAAATGACTTCTAGTGGGTTAAATGGAAATCCCCACTAAACCAACTAAAATGCTGAAAAGCTGAGGAACCGGATGGCTGGGAGCAACCAAGCAAAGGGAAAACCTGCCGGAAACGCAGCGTTTGGGTCCATTCCGTGCCTTCCAGCGCATTGGGGTTCCACTCGCAGGAGAAGACCTGCGCAGCCTTGGACGCTAAGACAAAAGGCCAGCTGGGTGTGGCTTCCTTCTTTCGATGGGCCGATTCGGTTACTGCGACTGTGGATGGTTCAAGATCCACTTCGATCGGCAGTGCACGAAGCTCTTCAACTGGTTGAGTTTGTCCACAGTATGCCACCCTCGTTCCTTGCACATCCCCAGGTTGATTCCCAAAATCTAAACCTCGATTTGCTTAAGTCCCCTGGAAACAAATTACACATATTTCCAGCAGTGATAGATTCCCTTTAAAGCCCAACAGGGAAAATTCAACATATTCATTTCAGCAAATGAAAGAAACGGCTCCCAACTGAGAGGCTGAGAACCAGCACGAAGGCATGTCCGAACTTTTAATTAGGGACCCTTTGGTGGCATGGTGGACATCAGAACTCCGTGGGGACCCATGTCCATCAACCACTTTGGAGGGGTTCCCCAAAAACCTCAACAAAAGAGTCTGAACCAAAAACTTCACCAAACACACTTCACCAAACAACTTCAAGTCTTCACCAAACACTTCACCAATAACAGCCACCGAGTCTTCGCAAAAAAACTTCACGCTACGAACCCGGTAGCCCAAGCTCAGCCAACGGCTCCCGCCGCCAGCAACGGTAACGTCCAAAAGCCGATGCCTCGCGGGCATCTGAGCCCCCAATCCCCACGGGGGCCGGGTTTTAAGGATGAACCAGGCTCCATGTTCTAAGGGTAGCTTCCATGTCCATTCTGAACCCAGGGATCCGGATCTTTCTAGAACACCACAAAAAACATGGGGAACCAGCTGGTGTTTGAAAAGAACGACGGTTGAAAAGAATGGGGAATCAACCCCCAGACATGTGCTTACGCCCACTGGAAGAAGAGACATACTGGATGGACGAAATCCATTTCGCACCATCCAAGAATCATTAGAATGATGATTCCCCTGTTTTTGCCAGCAAACACTGGTTTAGTGGTGCAGGATTTCGTCCGTCCACAGTATGTCCAGCAGTGATAGATTTTTGTCCAGTAGTGATAGGTTCCCTTTAAAACCAATGCAAGGGGGAAATAAAACATATTCATAAGCAAATGGGAGCAATGCTGTTGACAGGGGCAAAGTCGGAGTTTCTTTGGGTGCCTTTTGGTCCAATCCATTGGGGTCCCGGCGTTTGACATGGTTTGCAGAAGGGCATCGCACCATGGGAAATTTGGGCGCCCCACATGCAGTGGGTGTTCATATAATATGTTTTCGGACTCAACCAGGCTGTTGTAAATCCTGGCTTCTACAATCATACTCATCTCCATCGAAAAGAGTCTCAACGGACATCAGGCCTAAGCTGTTGTTTCAATCCGCAGGGCTGCTCATGGAGAATTTGCCAATTCCTCTCCATAGTCCTTCCAGCCATAGGTGTCCTTTTTGGCTGAAACATAGAGGGCCCTGGTTTACCTGGTTCAATCAACTACCGGGGCCATCTAGTTTCCCAAAAAGGACACCTCTGCTTCCAGCAAACTGCAAACAGGACCAACTGCTTTCGTAACCTCAGCCAGGATCTTGCGGCTGCACTCCCGACAGAAACTGGTCCAGCCTCCCATGGTGGGACATCGCCTTGTTCATGCTGGTGCTTGTGTATAGTTGCCCCTTTTGGGGAGAGCATGGTCAGCGAGCCTTTCGGGGTCATGCCCGAAGGGCTATTGTCTAGTAACGAGTTTGTTACAATCACCACTAGATTTTGAGGTGCCACGGAAGCTGACTTCACGTTTCTAGGAAGTGCAAATGGAAGTGACGCAAGGGACTCCGTCCAAAGGACCTGGAAATTAAAGGTGGTCACCTTTTGGGCCATTGCCAGAAAGGAACCGCCAAAAGGTCAAAACATGTCAACAGGCCGATTCGCTTTGGGCGCGTGCGTCAAACCAACGCACATCTTGAAACCTGACGTGCCGCCTGCGTAGAGGTCGAGAATGGTCTCGCCCTTCACGGGCCAGGTGGCCACACGTTCCTTCTCCCCAGCCTCGGTGCCAAGATTCGAGTTGATTCCTACGATGGACCTGCAATGCAGGGCTTCCCTCAAGGCCCTGATTCATCCCTCCCATTGGGGGCCCCGCCGAAGACAACAACCATTTTGACTTGATTGCTACTGGGTAACGGATCTTTGGACTTCAACTTTCTCGTTGAAATCAACTTGGTTTGCCATTGGACCCGCAAAAAGCGAGTCACTTGTTGCAGAGGTTGCATCAACCAAGTCTTTGTAAGGGGCCACCATCCGCATCCCAATAGGGGAAGATTACCCAGCGAACGTCAAGTGAACATTTAGAGCCGCTCTCGAAGTTACACTTGGGGTGATGTCTCAGCGTTTTGGCTACGTCACTTTTGGCTGCAAAGGGAGGTCTTTGATCTCCGGCGGTTCAGACGCATAAAATCACTTGTTGTTTTCGTTGTTTTGCTAGTTAGACGATAACGGGCCGTTTTCCGAAGGCTAAACCAAACAAAGAACCAGTGTTTTCGGTTGAGCCAGACCTCACTCGCCCAAAGGACCTGGAAGTGGAAGGTTAACCTCGACTGAAGATGGAACAACACAGGAAAACCAAAAGATCCAAAGGTAGATCTGGGCAACAGAGACAAAGCAAGTCTGGGCTGTGCTCAGATCCCTGCTAAAGTTTAACTTCTATTGGGATAAAAGGAAACTCCCACTAAACCAACTAAAAATCAACTAAACCCCACCAGGGGATGGCCGGGAACCATAGAAGGATCTTTGGAACCTCAGCCCGTCCTTGGGGCGCCAGCGTTGCCCTCCGAGAACATGCACTTGGTGATGTCCTCGATGCGGGCAGGCGCATTCGGCTTTCAAGTAGGGCTGACAGTGGATGGCAGGGTTCCTCTTCCAGTTGGGTCAGGTTCAAAGCTAAATCCGCAGGATGGTGGCGAAATCCATTTCGCACCACCTACCAAACCATGGTTGTAACCATTGCTTGTTGATACTTCCGTTGGAATTCGATCATTGCACGGATTTTTCAGTGGGCCCTTTCAAGAATCTGATATGTTCTTTGTGGCACGTTCACTTCTTGGCACTTCGTGTGTGAACCGAGTGGGAAAGGCACTCGGTGAGTCGCGATAAAACGTGAAGCGCAAACCGTCAGAGTTTTCGCAGTGCCTCTCCGAAGGATCTGCCCTTTCAAGCACCTCAGCAGCACCAAGGGACTGAGGCTTCCCCACTACTGCCGCAAGTGAAGAACATCGTGGTCCCCTTCTGGTGGGTCCTTCAAATGCTTCAAGGAAACCAGGAAGGAAACCAAGGGCACACCTACTTTGAGGTGTACACGCCGTGACGGCGGTGTCACAAACGGCACCCCCACCCCGCCGCCGCCAAAAGGCGCGCGCCCGTGGGGCTCCCCGCGAAGGCGTAGCGCACGCCCTTGGGCCCAGGCCTGGGAAGACGTCTCTCGGATGATTTCCGTGGGACCAAAGGCTGTGGCTCAAAATTGGTACCCAAATGTCACCTTGGTTCATGGGACCAAAGACTATAACGTGCATAACCCTAGTTCTTTCATTTTGAGCCGCACCCAAAAGGATGCCGATCCGTTTTGGTTGAGTTCAGAGTTCGGGGTTCCCTTCCCCCAAAAAGTGGGGGAACGAGGGGGCGGAGTCCACTGGTGGCCAAAAAAGGGGTGCTCTTCTCATGCCAACAAAAGCAAGAGCTGGCGCAAACCCAAGGGTTCCGGGTAGAGGCGAACCGGTTATTTTGACCCGAACTCAAACGGCGAAGGCGCGTTTCTGACAAAGGGCGATCACCTTCTGGAACCTTGACAAAAATAGGCACGGGGAAACACGCCAGGTCGAGGTTTGTGGAGGTGTGGAGCTTGCGTAGTGTCCCATATGTCCTTTACAAAAGCCACAGGTTGAAATCCCCCATTCCTGCTGAAACGTGTCCTGGTTGAGGTGTTGAAGTCAAGATCTGGACCTTCTCGCACAGGTTTCTACCACCTCCGGAGCACAGCAAAAACCGTCCTTTCTGATTCTGCTCACAATCCAGGTTGCCTCCCCCCCCCCCCCACCATTTGGTGGTTGGATTTGTCCTCGGGGGTTCTCAACCAAGTGGGAAGCCGGAAGCCCCTCCAAACCAGCAGGCCAAATCAGAGGCCGGGCACCGAGGCCCAGTGAGTGCATGGTTTTTACTAGGCCCACTGCAGAAAGAAAATGCCCCGAATTTCTGGGGTACCTTCCATGTCCATTCTGAACCCAGGGATCCGGATCTTTCTAGAAAACCTCCGGAAAGCCAGGGAAAATGGCAGGTTTCTGGAAAGAACGATGGTTGAAAATAATGGGGAATCAAAACCAATCTGCATTGCCCCTCAATTTCTCTGGCGTCTCAAAAGGCCCCTTCATGGTGACAATGGATACGAAAATGGATACCCCTTCGCTGATACCGAGACTTTGGCGTAGCCATACCCAACGAGAATAGAGAGTATTGGCCGAGGCTGGCAGGGTATCTTCCATGCTTTTCTTTCAGACATGGTCTTGGGAAGGAACATCGGAGGACTCCCACTTGCACATTGCACATCTCCGGGGCCTACTTCGGCCTAGGCTTTGACACCCTTTTGGTAGTACAAAGCTGTTCACCAGAGTCTGGCCAACATATACCTCCATTTGCCTAAGTCCCCTGGAAAACATTAAACAAATAATTCCAGTAGTGATAGATTCCTTTTAAAACCAACAGGGGAAAATAAAACATATTCCTAACCAAATGGAAGTTTTTTTTTTAAACAACCTTTTGGCATTCCCTCCAAAAGGCGGCGGCCAAGGTCCAACACAGGCTATGTGTTTGACCACCCGAGTTCCACAAAGTGACCTGAGGTGGCTGGCCAGAATGCGCTAAGCTTCTGGGTGGACGAAAACGACGAAGACACCTCCTGACGCAAGTTCCATGAAACTGGACGGGAGCAACCTGTTTTGGACAGTTGATTTAAGCGCGTCCCCTCCTCCCTAAAAAACCAAACCACGGATAGGGGCAACCATTTCCGGGCTGCCCTCAGATCCCCCGCAAAAAGAGACTAACTTTTAGTGGGGTAAATGGAAACTACAAATTCTAAAAGGCCAAACCGCTAAGGAACCGGATGGCTGGGAGCCACCAATAATTTCTATAGTTAACTCCAAAGGGGCAACTACCCCGCCCCAAGAAAATCACCGACAGCCGGGAGGTCTCTCCATCCGAGTGCCCGGCACCAGCACCCAGCCGCTGCCGCTGCCCGCGAGGATCTGCGAGGTCAAGCAAAAAGGAGATACCACCCGCCAGTCCCAACCAGGTCAAAGGGGGATGGGAAATTTCTGTTCAGACCGTTAGGAGTATTCTGTTTCAAGGGCAAGGAAAACACATTTTTTGGGGTTAGGAGGGTGTGGATATGGGTGTGTTTTGAGGGTACCACCTTTCTTGTAAAGGGAAACCAACCCTAAGCTCAAACACACATGTGGAGCGCGGTCTTGCAGCTGAAATCCTGCGCCGCTATATAAGCCTCACTTGGGGGTTTGGATTTGGAATTCCACGTCTGGCCCTTGAAGATAGATGGGAAACCACCCGTCCGGACACCTTCAAAAAACCAAGCAACCAACCCAAACCACCCTTTTCATACGGAACCTACCAAGAATCCCTTCAAGAAACTGGTCGGATCCAGGACCCCCCGCAACGTCAGGGTTCCTTCCGTCAATGGGAGATGGAAGTTGAAACCCCGCTGTGCACCTCGGTAGGCCAAAGAGATGCCGAGAGGCTCCATCACTCGTAACGGGTTCTAGATCCCAGCTCGAGGCCGGATGTCTTGGGAGAACACCGCGGGTTGAACAGCTGCAACTTTACAATGCTGTGGAGACATCCTGAGATTCCTGAAATGAATCGATTCCTCCTGTAAATGCTAAGAAGTAAAAGTTTTTCATGGTTTCAAGTGGTGCAGGATTCTGTCCACCCACGGTATGTCCAAATCCTAAGTTCATGACCCATATCAAGGTGAGATCGTTTACCCCCAAATGAGCCCGTCATGCAAACAAGGCTTGTTACTTGCTTGCTTAATATGTGCTCATCTTACTGGCCTCATGATTTAAAGTTCTTACTTGGAGGGTTGCTTTGGGCACAGGGCCCTTTGGTGGACCTCATCCACTTCCAAAATGGGGAAGTAAAATTGGCGTCATGACTTTGACTGTGGGTGACCTCCATCCATGGGGCTTGTCGCTCGTTTGACCCCTTGGGCGAGCTCGGTACTTCTGTGTTGATAAAAAAGGCAGTTTTTTTTAATTTAAATCAAAAACCGTGGACTTTTCGTTGAAACATGGGTTTTGACGTGAACAATGCGAAGGAACCCGCCTGCACGTTTCCTCCGCGGACTTCGTCATCCACGCGGATCTCCTGACATCAAAGGAGATCCGCGCGTGACTCGTCTACGACTCCGGCACCAGAATCATTCGCTTGATTTCAAGATTTTGCCCATATGGCTGTGGCTCACAATATGGCACCTTGGTAAATGGAGACTAAGACTAACTCCTGCGTAACCTGAGGTCGTGAATGGCACTGTTGGAGGATTTTAGTGGGAAACACGCAAACACCACCTGAAAGACATTACTTCAAAGAGGGTGCTCTACATGTCCAACATGTTTTCTTCTCTATCTGTCCAAAGCGAAAATGCAACAAACCCAGCGGAAGAAATTACCCTAATTTGTTTGAAAATTAGCGTGCGCTGCATTGCCCCTGTCAACGCCCTCCCCGGAATCCGGATTAGCCCAAAACAAGTCCAAAGCTCCGGAGCCATCTGATCAAGGACCCCGACGCTTCCAGTTGTTCGGGAACAACATGTCAACAACCTCAGCTGTACTCCCCTTCAGTTGACATGGAACCCCCAAACGCATCTGCTGGATCGGAATCTCCTTTGGGGGACCCCAGGTTTTTTTGGGCCCCATGTTAAGTTGCAGGGGCCGGTCCGAAAAACCGCAACTTGGCCAAACCAAGCGAGACTCCATGTGTGAACTCCAGATCTAGGTAGAACCCCTGGTTGGTTTTGATTGGGGCGTCCAATTCCTTGGAATCCGCATGGATTCCGTGAACCGGTCCTCTACGTAGATCCGGGTTTCTTTTGCTACATGGCGGATAGCTTGGCGGTTGAAAGCTAATCCCAAAAAGTCAGCTTCCCTCTTGGGGGCTCTAGATCTGGGGGTTCAAGTCCATCCCCTGATGGTTGCTCGCAAAAATGTTGAAGGCAATCGTCCAGCAACAAAGATGAAGGATAATCAGCTTTTTTCCAATGGGTGGGTGGTTTGGATTGTTGGCTTGGTGGTTAAGGGTAGTTTCCTTTCTACCCTCAAGAAGATGTGTTTCTAGGCCCTCCAGTAGAGAGGCTAGAATCAGGGTACCAACTTTTCTCTGTAATGTGTTTTAATAGGGGAACCCTCCCCCAAAAAACGGGTAAACATTTGCACCACTGGGGGACCTAGTTCCCATGGATTCTCCATCCACCTGGACCCTCAAAGCAACCCAGAAACGAAGGGAACTCACCCCATTAGGCAATGACCCATTCTGAAGGGAACTGCGCAACATCCGCCCAAAAAAAATGCAAAGGGGCACCACTGGGGGACCTAGCAACATACAGGGAGTTCTTTGCGAAACGTCCCAAGCAACGTGTCACATCTCGGAATCTTTTTTTTTTCTCCGAGGGCTCCTGCTGCCTGCCCAAGAGGCGCGCGCCCAGGGCCACACGCAAGCGCTCCCACCTCGGTTTCTTGGAGGCCGTGTCGGTTTTGCTGGACAGAGCGGGCTACCAGCTGCCATTTGCTTTTTCGCCCACAGGAAAAATAACAATATTTCCAGTAGTGATAGATTCCCTTAAAAAAACAACAGGGAAACATAGGAAAAACTATTCTTAAGCAAATGGAAGCCAGTGATCTGCTGGTAGCTACCAGCCACCGTCTGTTTTACACCATGGGTTTGTCTCAAAGTAGGTGTAGCCCCCCAAAAAGGTGTGGTTTTCCATTGGTTTCGCTTTTTACGCCAACCCGAAAAGGGTTACCTTCAGAAAAAGACCTCCGCCCACATCTGTCTCAGGCCCGGAATCCCAAGCCCATGGTTTCGATGTTTAGCAAGCGGAACTCAGATGCCCAGTGGATTTCCATGGGAAGAAAAGGATCGGCATCCGATTTGTTGGTTGGCTGAGTTTCAAGGAATCGGAACTCAAAACCAACAAAAAAGGGCGCCACTAGAAACCGCGCCGAGGACTTCCGGCTCCTGAAGGAACTTTCACTTGCAAGGATCTCGGCCGTGAAGGTCGGGACCCGATCTAAGGTACGAAAGGGTTCCGGAATTTTCCTGCAACTGGTAGGTCTTTCGGGCGAACCAAGTTCACAGAATTGTTGTCAAAACTGTGATACCAAGGGAATTCCCGCTAAATGTCTTTTGCCACAACTCAAAGGTTTCAATTCCGGCGAATTTGCTCTGTCCTGGAAACTTGGACAAATAGCAAATCCTCACGGGCCGCGGACTCTCTCAACATCATTTACATTGGGATTTGCGTCCACCAGCCACTTGTGAGAAGATTCCTCACTCAAAATCCGAGTAATATCAACCACCATCCCAGGAAATGGGCCGGATCCTGGCTGATATTGCGTCTATGGGTCAGGGCTGACGGGGTTTCCCCACAACAACTACGCCAGCGAACCATGGGCACCCGGTTCAAACGCTGACAATTGGGGCCTGAATTATTGACCCAACTCCAGCGTGCACCAAATTTGTCTTCAGATCCTGCTTTAGACCTCCAAACCGTGGATTTGTCGCAAAAACAAAAAACACAATCGGGGACCTCCAAAAGGTGTGGCTTCCTTGGCTCCTTGCAAAACCCACCAATGGGGTCCAGGCACACGCATATACGGATTCAATGCCCATCTTGCGGAGGTTCCAACAAAAAAGACAGGCGCTTCCATGGATTCAACGCCCGAGTCCCGTGGTTCCATTCATTTCACGAGGCCGCTGCAGGCTTTCACCGGAAGCCTGGCAGGGATACAGGGCTGAGTCATTTCCGCGAAAGAAAAAAGAAACAACTCTCCCCCTTTCATGACTCGCCTTTCATGGGACAAGGTGATCTTGAAAACCAGCAAAGAGGGGAATATAGGGGGTGATAGGGTCTCTGATGTTCAAGGGCTTCCAATGTCAAGTGGTTTTTTTACTCATTTCCTTGGGTAGTGGTGGTTTGGGGGGTGGTGCAAAACCTCCTTCATGGACTTCCAAAGGGGTAGGGGGCTATCACTTTTATACAATCCCTCTATGCCCTCCATACTAATAAGTGTAGCCCCCTCTCCAAATCCCCACTGGCCATGGGGAACAATTGCAATTTCCATGGCTTCTTGGGATACTTAATTTGATCCCCTGGTTCATGAACTAAAAAGGGGCCCTTTGATTCCCAACTGGGATTTATTGAAACATGAATTCCCATTCATTGATTTTGAAGGGACAAGCCTCACCTGCTGAGTGGATTGGCAAACAAAAGCCTAAATTGGTTGCCACTAAAATGATCCAACCCCAAAAGTACAACCTCAATTTGCTCAAGTCCCCTGAAAAACAATAAAACATATGTCCAGTAGTGATAGATTCCCTCTAAAATCAACAGCAGAAAATAACAGGCTAAGCGAATGGAAGATAAAGTCCAGGAACGGAAGTGACAAACCGCTGGGCCGATGTCCGTAGCTCCATTCCTGCCGCAACTGCGCCCGGCGAAGTCCCTTCCTCGGCGAGGTTCTGCCAGTCGGCGCCTGGCCGAAAGTGGGGAGAAGCTGGGGTTGGTTTGCCAAACCACATGGGTGTGTCTGTTTTAAGGGAACCCCAAGATGGCTTTCCTATTGGTCCAAGCAATGCTTGGTAGATCTTAGGGCTTCAAGTTCTAGGGGTTGATTCCCAGCGTCCATTCTTTTCAACCATCCTTCTTTTCGAACACCGGATCCGTCTTCCCCAAAAGGTTAACCTTTTATTTCTGGACCCTTTTGGTCTCAACAGGTTTAGATCCTGGTTAGCTACACACCAGCCCTGGCAAGCAGCTTTTCAAAGGGTTGCTTCCCCATTCTGAACCCAGGAATCCGGATCTTTCTTAAAAGCCCGGAGTGTCGCTTTTGTTTAGCTCAGTTTTTTGAGAAAGGGATATCCGGTTTCCTATGAACCCACAAAGGGGTACCCTCAACACAAGACGCACGTCCAACCCAAGCTCAGTTGCCCAGTGTAGACCCAGGAATAAAAGGTGATCACCTTTTGGGACCATGACAACATATTGCGTCTAAAATGCCGGCTTTGAACCACTGAGTTGGATGTGGGTGGCTCGTCTTTTAACAAGGGGAACCCCTCCGAAATTGTGTTTTCCTGTTGGTTTCCCTTCTTGAAGCCCCCAAAAACGGGGTACCCTCAAAATGACCCGCCCAGACCCAGATGTGGGGAAGCCACCCCCACATGTAACCACTATACTGGACCCAGGGTTGCTGTCACTACGAAGGCCCGCCCACCCCCCCCCCCGGTCGTGCTCCCCCTCCATTTAAAACCCAAGAGGCGCATCAAAAAACCGCACACCAGGTCTCTCTCTGCCATGGAAAGGATCGCCAAGGACACAAGTACCGGTGAGTACATCTACAAACTTACAAATAATTCCAAAGCCTGAAATACGAGTTGGATCACCGAGCAAAGGATCTTTATCATGGCTTTCGCTCGCTTTACCCCCGAATTGGTGGAACCGCTCGCCATAAAATTTGCAGATCGATGTTGCGAGAACAGGCTTCTATAAGGAAAAACCTCTCAGGATCGATGTGCGCAACTCTTCGGCCACCCCCGCGCCTGGATTCGTCTTCCCCAAAAAGTACAACGTCCACTCACTTGCCAAAACAACCTGGAAATGACAGGTTAACCTTTTGGAACCATGACCAGATATGGACATCAGGGAAACCACAAGGTTAAAAGGTCGATTCGCTTTGGTTCCAAGTGAGGACCTCAGAAAGTGAGGAACAAGGCAGCGGGGAGCTTCACCATCAGGCGCCTGTGAGAGCTCCCCGCGGCAGAAGCGCCACGTCCGCGCCTTGCGACACCCACAGCCGAATGTCGACCATTGATCTGAACACCGGGCAGATGATTCGGGGTGTTCCCCCTCGGTTGCTTTCTGCTCTCCTGCTAAAAGTTTTACTCTTAGTGGTTTAATGGAAAACCCATTAGTTGGCAAAAGTTGAAGTCCCAACATCCGAGCAAAATGTACCTCTGCTCTCCCAAAGTGGAGGCATCTCGGTTAAAGCGGGACGCCCACTTATCAACCAAGGGGCTTATTGCTTCTGCGCTCCCAAGATATGTGGAAGCGTTCTTGGATACCTATCAAAGTCAGACACTTTGCATGTTTGCACCTGCCGCTTGGCTTTGATAAACCTCCATTTGGTTGAGTTTCCTGGCAAAACATCAACATGTTTCCAGTAGTGAACTTGGAGAAAATTGGAGCCGGGTTCATTCCCAGCGACTGGTCATGCTTTGCGGCAAGAAGCAGGAAGCAAGAAGCGGCTCCTTCCCGTTTCCTTTTTGTGGGTACGAGGTATGGAGGTTGGGGGGCCATGAGGTGGCTGCGTCCAGCGAAAGGTTGAACATCTTCTTCCCTGGTGCCCCGAATATGTAGATTCCTTATTTGCCCCAGATGGATATGGCTCAAAATAGGGATTGGACCCAAACATGTACCCGGTTTCTGTTTGGCTTCCTTCGAAAACCACACCAAAAAGGGCACCGCTTAAACACACCCACGTTGGCACCTCCGCTAAAGCGAAAATATGATTGGGGCGCGTCAAGGGCACGAAGTTTTCCTGATGCCTTGAGCTTTGATCCGAAAAGCCGTCAGTGAGCCCATGATCAACATGCGTTCAAAAGCGTTCGCAGGCCATTCCCGTTTTGCGTCAGTCAACCCAGACCGCCTTCCCACCGCAGTGTTTCGAGTGTGCCAGTGCTTCTGTGATGAGGCCTTTCATTCATCGGGGTGTGCGGAAAAAGGTAATGTTGACCCCTGACTAATGCCCACCCCCCGCTATTAAGGAAGAGGGGAACCCCCCCAAATAAGGGGACCCCTTGGGGCTGTGTCAATCAGAGGTCAATGGTTGGTGATAAGCCAGACTTGGGTTTTTCGCCCCGTAATAACAAGGTCAAGCCCACATTCACTGGGGACTTATAAGTATAAGTGGGCTATGGCTATAACCGAACGGTTACCAACAACCTACTAACTTGGCCGAACACCCAAGTACCCTCAAAAACCACCAACCTCTGGGTGTGTCTTAATCAAAATTGGCGGCTCAACGAGAATGGCATGTTTTCCTTTTGTTTCCCTTCAAAACCGCGCCAACCTAGTGCGACAAAACCCTGAACAAGAAGCAGGGTGTAAATCGAAAACCCGGTTTTTCGCAGGGTTTAGGTGCTCTAAGAGGGGGCATCCTCAAACCAAGAACCTCCATTTGCTTGAGTCCCCTGGACAAAAAAAATAGTATTTCCAGTAGTCATAGATTCCTTTTAAAACCAACAGGGGAAAATACAATATATAAAGCAAATGGCAGAGAACTGAACCGCAAACCCCAGCGAGAACTCAACTGGGGCTCGCCGAGTGCCGCACGCCACTGGACACTCAGCTCTCGCACCTACGAAGCCAGCTGGATGGTTTTTTGAAAGGACGTCAAAGGGAAACCGCCTACCTGGAGGAATTGGTCCACAACTTGGAGTAACATTTGGGTGTGGCTCAAAATCAAACAGGAGGGGTTGACGCAGGTACCGGTGTTTTGAGCCACAGCCATTTGAAGACTAAAGAGGGTGAAATCCATGCATTTCGCCCAAGCAGCAGCCAGAATCCCTGACATGATTCGAGTCGCTCGACGTAAATGCCAAGCAACCATGGTTCAACCATGGTTCTAAAGTGGTGCGAAATGGATTTCGTCCATACACAGTATCAAGCACTTCCCAGTGCGAGAAATGATGCTTTAAAACCCATCTCAAAACCGGCGCGTAATCTTTTGGCTTGGAGTTTGACCTTCAAACTGGTATTACAAATAAATAAGAATAGACAAGAACCCTTTTGGCTTCGCTTTTGAAGCCAGCCCAGCAACTATAGTACCACTAAGAACCTGAGAACGGATTCTCACCACCCCCCCCCCCTCCCCGACCTCCCGAAGCAAGGCGGCGGTATCGCCGGCCTTCAGCTGGTGGAACTTCAAAGGTGGGGTGCATCCGCAAACCACGGTGTCAAGGGGATTGGGCCATAAAAACACAGTACGCGCACCACGTAAGGTTGTCATACCCAAGTTTTTTTTCATTGGGAGTGGTATGAGGGTAGTCCAAACCATCTAACAACTGCAAGACATTTCAGCTTCCGTCCAGATCGGTGGCTTGGTGGTTGGGAGGCTCGGCGGTGGCGATGCTTATCCTCTGCAAGGACCAAACATTTCCTGAACATTTGCGCGCTAGGCGCTATATAAACAGCTCCGAAGCTGAAGACCAACCGTGCCCATGGTACAGTGCCCCCGACCATCCCTAAACCACTGGAGAACCACCACGCCATCTACACCCCGGCCCCGCAACCCGAGCAATCCGCACCCCAAACCAATCCTGACTTGAGCAGAAGGAACCCTATGTATACCAAGCTGATGGAATCGCTCAAAATGACTGAGCCCGGGATACTTTGTTCCTTGAAAGGGCAACTCCAACCGTTTCACTTAGAAAGGCACGCTGTGACAATGTAAAAGCCCTCTGCACTCTGATGGGTCCCTTCGTTTCTTGGAAATAACGATTAAGAGGTACACCGCGGCATTCCCTTGGTGGGTGCTTCCTCCCTGGAGCACTTCCTCAAAAGGAAAACGGTGCGAAAATGTAGGCCAAGATGAAAAATTGGCGAATTGTTTGGAACACTGGCTTTGACATTGATGACCGTTGGGGAGAAAGGACTCAGCCGTTGGACGGTGCAGGAGGAATAGATGAGGAAAAGAGACAAAGGAAGGAATGGTGGGAGCAAAAGTAAAAGATTTCTATCATCGCCTTCTTCCTTTCCTATCACATTCCTATTTCTTCCACATGCTTCATTGACTCCCCAAACATAAGAACAGAGATAGTGGGAGTTGATGGGATATGTGGAACCTTGTCACTAACAGTTCGCAAACACTTGCACTTGGTGAGTTTGGCCATGGCCCCCGCATGAGGACTTGTGATGGGGGCAGGCGCCCAAGAACTGTGAATCAGCCGCCGGCATGAGCAGTACCTCCATTTGCTTAAGTCCCCCGGAAGAATATATACTTCCAGTAGTGATCGATTCCCTTTAACATCAACAGGAGAAAATAAAACATAATAAAAACATATTCTGAACCGAATGGAAGATTACAATGCAGGGGATCAATCGTACCACCGGCTGGGAAGCTGAGAATAATTAACACCTATAGGGTTGCTGTATGTTGCTGTACTTGTCCAACCCACTGTGACACGCATGGTTTGCGCCTTCTAACATGGCCAGCTTTCTTGACAATGCTGTTTAGATTTATCCGCCCAACTTGTACAAGGGAGTATCTGAAACGGGGCAGGCAGCATACCGCATTTCACCACTGGCACCACAGTGAACGGAAAACTCGGCGAACGGCGGTTTCCAGCAAGGGGCGATTCAGCCAGCGAAACCGTGACTCCTGTGGATTACACTGGGTTAGCCTTACACCCCTGACAAAAAATGAATAGTGGGAACAAGGTCGAACAGGGACTGAATGGCAACCCAGAACAAGGATTTTGATTCAACTTCTGTCAGACAGGTGTCCTTTCCACACAGTGCACCACCTGGTCATCTTCGATTTAGCTGGGTCCAAAGTGACATGAAACTGCACCAACGGACAATTTGAGAACTCGCCAAAATGACCGCTCGCTTCATCTGCTAATCTGCGCGCCAAAAAAACGAAATCTGGAGACTTACCGGTTGAGCCACTTTGTTTGGGGGTTGAGTCACATCCCTTTGGTGGCTGAAGGAACAAAGCCAAAGCAGTCTCAAGCACCTCCGACAAAGGCAGCCACATCAAGGGACCCTGGCAGCAACTCATATGGTGGCAAAACGAAACAAAACAAGTTATATTGAGCAAATCTCCTTACCCCTTAAAACTCCAAGCCCTGGGGAAGTTAATCTTTTACAGACATATAGCCCATGTTACCCAACAAGTTGAGAAAAGATGTGTTTTTAAGAAGTAAGTCTCTAAAACCCTATCAGCCTGTGGTCACTTCAAGTGCCCCCCCCCCCCCGCAGTTTAAGGCGAGAAGCTCAGGGGTCAGTGCCTATGTGGAAATCGCCCCAAACCTTCCCACACGCGTTAGGAGAGCCGCAGGAGCTTGCCCGAGGTCTTCCAAATACTTCTGCAGCACCTGGCGTGGCAAACGCGTGCTCGCGTGGCGCAATGGAAAACCTTCTCGTCCCGCGAGAGAACACGGAACCCAGCTTCGGTGTGGATCGCAGAAATGTCTTGAGTTGTGCCCGGGTCCGAACCTGTGGAAAACCGGACCACACACACACACACACACGCCAAGTACGACTGTCGCGGCTTGAATCCAGCTCAAACCAAACAATCCCACTGCAAGGCACACGTAAACCCAACATGACAGGCTGGAACTGCACACCCTCACAATCACAATGTATGATGCTCTACCCCTCTGGGTGCTAGTCACCCGGGCCCGGGGCCGCAACCCACTTCGCCCAACCCTGGTCTGTGGCAAGAAGTTGCCTCTTCCAGCTTCGCCTTCTCCTTGCCCGCCTGAGATGCTTGAAGGTTGTTAGACAGAGGGATCCCCCCTCTTCCAGTGCTACCTTCCCCATTCTGAACCCAGGGATCCTTCTAGAAAACCCCCGGAAACCCCAAAGAAACGGCCGGGTGGTTGCAAAGAACGATGGTTGAAAAGAGCGGACAAAGAATCAACCGTTAGACCTCTGGTGTAGACACCCTGAACAAATACAAGGGCCTGTTGATGCTTCTCCAAATCGCACAAGATACCGAAAGGACATATCTCGACAGGGATTCGATCGATCCAGGCTGGGAATTAGACGAAGGGTTTGAACAGCATATCGTCGCATTCCTTTTGCAGGGTACTCCCAGGATGATGTGTGGTTGCTGTACTTTTGTTCCATGTTTGGCTACACACAAAGGATGGCGTCTTGCAACCCTACAGTACCCCAGGCTATAAAACGGTTTCTTCCCACACTTCCACTCATTAGCAAACAAAGTCTCTGTTCTTTGCAGCTACCCATGAACAATAAACCTCAGATGCCCAGTGGCCATGGGAAAAAAGGGCAGCCATTTTTTGGTGGTTGAATTTAAAGCGGAAAGCTTACCCAAAAAAAGTTGAAAAAATGGCACCACAGGGCAACAAAGAAACATCAACTAAAAGCAAGCGACCAAACAAACATAAACCAAAACCAGCCAAGCGACAACAAACCGGCCCCTACTTGGAAGGGTTCCCGCCCGTTCCACTTATCTGTTCTTCCAAAAATGGGCGGCCTGCAGACTCCAGGGGCCCGCGTCAAGGCATTTCACAAGGCATTGGACAAATAGGCTGGACTAGGCTTATTTGATCAAACACATCAGGGAGCAACGGCACAACAGGCACCAGTTGCAGGGCCTGATTTAGGCCCATTTGCTCTTCAGGAAGAAACTAAGCAACACTCTCCTAAATCTTCCTTGGTCACGTGCGAAACCGACATGCATCCCAACGGGCGCCCACTGTCCGCCCGCTACGGAGGGGATTTGCGCTCTCCATCTGCAAAGTGATTCTTCAGCGGTCGACACTAAGTCTACGTTGGGATTAAGACAAGGTGCGACCATCTTGTAAAACATGACATTGTCTCAAACCGAAAAGTCAAACCCCTGATTGAAAGACTGCTGCCTGCTCCACATCCGTTTCAATCTCAGCGGACTCCATGTTGGGCCCTCTGGTGGGCCTTCAAGTGTTTGGGTTGCCCTCGTGGGTCTCCCCTGCTTTGAGACAAACCCTGTCACCCCCAACATCTCCCTGCAAAAGATGGCTTACCTAGTTTGATTTGGTTTGAAGGGAAGCCACAAGCTTAAACCCACTCATTTGGGGGTCCAAATCCTTCTTTTGACCTAAACCCGTGTTGATCACCTGAGACACCGCCGGACACCGCCCCACTTCCCCACTGGGCTGCCGGCTGCCGATGGCCTGATGCGTTTTCGAGACCGGATGCCCCCCAACAGGACCAGCGAAAGCAGATTCCTAGAGGAAATCTGGGCCATTCTGGGCCTAAACTCTTGGTGTTGATGGCTCTTTGACAAACTTCCCGCAGCAATTCCTGCAGCTGGTTTCTTGCAGGTGTTGAGCAGAAAGTCTGAATCAACAATTGCTTCATGACGGGCGCGTGTTGTTTTCGTGCCACGGAGAGCTCGCCGGGATCAGTGCAACATAACTTCAATGTCCAGCTGCATTTTTCCTTTTGAATGGAACGCGGATATTTTGGTTGGCACTGCGCAAAGATGGCAAAGCAAACCCGACTTAGCCGTCCTTGTTTTGTCACGGAAGGACTTACAAACTCCCTACGAAGAGATGACAACGGGTACAACCACCTTCATGTTCTGAACAAACGCCGCCTAGCAGCATTGTAAGAGACAAACATCCAAACGGTGGACTTGTGGCGAGTCAACCTGCTTGCAGGTTGCAAAGTCATGGTGCTACATAGGGTACCTGGATCTTGACTTTCCAACCCTTGGCAAGGTAGAAAACAAACTTTGTCTTTTGCAGCCCTCTACCAAGAAACAACAGCACTGAACAACTAGAAAACAAACAACGCACGAGCAAAGAACGGTGAAATGGAACAACGCTTGCTTAAACCACCCCCTTTTTGGTCCTCCTTCAAAGACAACCGGGGCCTGGTCGCTCAAACAACTTTGCCTGGTGATTGCAAGCCAGATAGGCATTACACGGTGACCAAAGATACCTGGTAACGCCTCCACAAGAAGGAACCATGCACTTGTCCTTCCAACTTGCAAGCCAAACATTGCAATTGCGTTGGGTTTTGAAGCACAAAAAACGCATTGGGTTTGTCACCGGTTTTTATATAAACCCCATGCCTGGTGTTTCCTCAGTGACCCCTACAGAGTAACGTGTGACTTTGCCCGTCTCAGAGTTGGGCTCCAGACACTGCGCCCTTTGTTGGCAGCCTTGGCATCAACGGAAGCCAGCCCCGGCGGGGGGGGGGGGTGGAGGGTCTGGGACCCAATTCCACTGCTCGCGCATTTCCCATAAGAGGGAAAATGGGAACGTAAATAGAATTCCAAGGGTCACGAGTCACTGACTCAATTTTCAAAAGGGGTGGGGATTTCCTCGCAGAAAGCAAACGCCTAAGTTTGGGGGAAAGTCGATGGCGGATTCAATTCCAACCGTTCGAGTCAGTCGTCAACCCCTTTAGATATCCAAACCAAGGGAATGTTTCTCTACTTTCGCTCTGGTGTAGAGAAATTCCTTGAAATCAAAAACAAAGCAGCAGTGGAATGAAATGGAGCCTCGTACAACTCGACTGAAGATGCTCTTTTTGCTCACCACTCGAATTCGGCCCCAACAACAAATACAAACATAATTAATTGGGGAAGTGAGAAGCCTCTAATGAAGGCCCGGTAGGGTGCCTAACGGCGACTGGCGGCTGGGGCCAAGCAAGATCTAGTTGAGATCTACTTTGGGCCCCTGGAAGAATGCTCTGCCGGCTAGTGGCTGAACATCACACAAGGCGCCCCAATCTTACTCCCTGGTTCATGGCCGCGTCATGATCTTCCAGTAATCATGGTCCCTTTGAGTGAGGCGTGCTCTCTTCCAAGGTACACTCTTGATTACCAACTTGCGGGGCTAGTCAATCAAAGATCTCCATTGCGTAAACTTTACTCATGTGAGTGGACGTGTGCAACAAAGGGCCGCCGTCGTTTGGTTGATCTTGATCTGAAAGGAACGCCGCTTGCCGAAACAGGACACGAAGCACTGGGAAACTGGCCTGAAGAGATAGAGTTACCAAGTCTTCCCTATCAAGGACAATTGCGTTTTACCAGGCTTTTTGTCTACCGTATGTCCCTGTGCAAGGGCACTATCGTTCTAGATGGTAGCCCTACCATGTCAGGACGATGACAGGGTGCATTTGCTTGAAGCTGGAACTCTTCCCAACTTTTTGCCGGCAGAGTCGAGATACAAGAGTTGCTTTAGCCCAGTTTTCAGGGGCAACCAGATCAAAAGCAAGCACAACGGACAAATTTTGGTTGCAAAAGCGGCAGGTCAGAAAGGACATAAAACGTCAAGTCGCCGTTGCCGCCTAAGGCCAAGCAGTGGTGCCGAACGGAAGACAAAGGGAACCGGCGGCGCGGGAGGGTGAACCACCGCTCTGTCCGTGATACCCAAAGTGGGGATCCCAAGCCTCAAAACTGCAAGTACTTTGCAGCTTGCCCCCCCCCATGTTTGGTGATTTGGATTGGTGGTTCGGTGGTTGGGGGGCATGGTTTCCCATGAGCCCTTCACAAAAAGGAGCTCAAGTCCAAATGCAAACCACCAACTGCTTGCAATTGCTTACCCTCCCCTGGAAAAAACTGAGAACCAATCCGGTGCTGAAACCGATTCCCCCCCAAAACCAGGGGAACCGGCAAACATATTGATTTCAGCGAATGGAATCTGGGTGAATTATAATATTTCACCAAGCTGAAATAAGGCGCTTGGGGGGATATTCCCCAAAAAAAACATCATTTGGGGTGAGGTCGTGCGAGGTCGCTATAATTCACCCAGATGGAATTTGGCGAAGCTGGGATTCGGGTCGCTAGAGCCGAGCCCAAAACCGCTGAGGTGTCCCGCGTGTCCCGGCTCAGCCGCAGCACGCCGCGGCGCCAAAGGTCCTGCGCTGACCAACGGTCTCCCCCGTGGCCATGAGAAAACCCGTGTGGTGGCCCAGACTGCATCGAAAACGCGGGAGAAAAGGAGATTCTGGCAAAAGGAACGCATTTTGTTTGTGTTTTCTTGATGTGTCAGGTAGTTGTCTTCAAAAATCCCCGCGCTTTCCCCAAAGAAAATCGGCCCGGGAAGCAACTTGTTACTGGAGACTGAAGCGCTAGAGCCTGCAACCTCGGCTCTGAGTTAGCTCAGCCTCGGCCTCCCCAACCGAAAGTGGTATTCTTGATTCTGGACCGCGGAGTCGCCGTGTACTCCAAATCTTTGGGAGCAGCTCAGCTGGAGTTCAGGGGGCAATTTCCTTGGGTTTCAGAAAGATCGGATACCCTTTTTTCCTCGCAGGGGCCCCGGGTTCTCACAACGAATGGTTTCCATGTGCTTGCCCCCAAGGGCACCGACACACACCCCGGAGTAATTTGAAAAGGTTCCAAAGACCAACGGGACAAGTCGCAGAGGAGACCGCGGCTGCATCCACGGGTTTTCGCCACAAAAAATGGCGCGAAGCCCGCGTGTTGTTTGGGGGGTTTCCCTTTTTGTGGTTGCGTAGGGGGGTCAAAAGGAAAAACAGCCGGATTTTTGTGACAGCCGCCCCCCATGGTCTGTGCAAACCTACTGGTGCCATGGTTGACCCAGAACCATGTAAGGAAATACCAAGCCGGATATCTGCAGCCGTTTCTTGCTGGATTGTCCCTTACTAGCCTTCATCGACCAGGGTTGTTGTTGGTGGCTCAATTGAGGCCCTAGTCTGCATTTTTCCTTTCCCCCCCTCCGCTCGCTCAACAGTGCCCAGAGTTGTTTCTTGGGGCCCAAAACAAGTTTGATTTTGAAGCGACCCTCGAAACAGGCAAAGAGAATCAGAGGCTCTTGTGAGATATCCCCTGTGGTGACTGTTTGGCCTTGGCTTTGATACCGGACTTATATATAACTCGACGGTTTGGGGACTTCAAACGCATGAACTCCAAAATCTAAGTGAGGCCTAGTGGGAAGGGCTTAGATAAACAACCCTTTAAAAGTAAACCTTTGGTCAGCTTTGTTCTCAAAGCAGCCACAGGATGCTGAACCAGGAATAATTTTCTACAAGCGAGACCCTAGCTCCAAAAATGGGTCGGACAAACCGCCTCAAATTTTGCCGCACGCACCTCCAGATCTGCAGGCTGCGTGGGGGGCCGCAGCTTCTTGGGCAGCTTGTCTGCGAGAAGTCAAGATTTGGGGGGCTGTCCTCAAACCCACCATGCGACACCACCAAGCTGCGTAAGCGGAGCTTTTCAATTTTGAGCCACACCCGAGCTTGTGGCCCGCCGTCAGGGTCCCTTCGAAAGGTTCAAAAGCATAATTTCGCCCACTTTCTGGCAGAACTACCTTGCAATACTCAAACGGTCTGCCACTCCTGGGGGACCAAAGCGCACTTTCTCGCTGCATGTTGGGCTTTTGGAGTTGATGAACACGCACAAGGAGCCTGGAAAGGGAGAGCGTGGTGTGGGTGGCTTGGTGTACCAGAACCTTTTTTTGGAACAGGCGTACTGAAGGTTCTTGCAAGGATCCAATTTGTAAAGCTTTACCTCAAGGTTCAATCACAATTTAAGTTTAGGCTGGAACTAGGACCTCAGCAAAAAATCTTTTTGCCTGGTTGGTGGAAAACAAACAGACACCCAAAAAGCCAAAAAAACAAAAAGGGGAGCTAATTCTGGGGAAGACGCAGAGATGATGACGGTCCTTAGGTAAACGATGGCTTCAAAGGTATCCAGCTGACGGGGCTCCTGAAAACTTACAAGGGTTTCCGCTCCTGGGCTCAATAGGGACTGGCAGTCTTAGGTGGGTACCGAAAAGATCTGTACACAACATAGCACATGTAAGCTCCCTCCAAGCCATTTGTGGGAACTGTGTCTCCGCCAGCTCTGATATTTCGGCAGCCAACTGAGCCGCAGGGTTCATGAATTCTTCTACGAAATCATCAATTTGCTTGAGTCCCCTGGAAAAATAAAGCATATTTCTAGTAGTGAAATCGATTTCCTTAAAAACCAACAAACAAATGGAAGAACTCAACTTATCAGATACATCGCTGCACGTCTAGGTTCCCCCACCAAAAACAAAACAGCAATCAAACACCATTACAAAACAATGAAACACACTGTGGCTGGCCGAATCCGGAGCTAGCTAGGATCAGTGGTCTACGATTTGGTCCATCCACAGGGACCTCGTTGCTGTTGGCACAGGTCCCGGACTGAGTCCCGTCCCGCCTGTAGCTGGCTCGGCGACTGTCACCTTCCGTGCGGAGACGGCGTTTTCCGCAGAGTTCCGCGTCAAATGCGAGAGCACCCCAGGCGAAAACCAACATGCAGCACAAATGCAACCTGCTCGTTCGGGCGCCAGTGGCTGAAGTACAAGGTTGTGCACAGAACCGAACCTGGGTAAATCATCCGGACCCTACTTTGGGAGCCAGCCCTTCAAATGCAACAGATTCCAAACATTCCCAAAATGAGACAAAACTGGTCTTAACAGCCCGGCACGTAGAAATAAGACCCCTGGCCCAAAAAGAAGGCCAACTATGTTTGCTCTTGGGGTTGGTCACCGTATGGCTGTCAGCACCGTATGGCTCGCGCACGCCGGGCTTGTCAGCAATACTTCGAATAGGACGTAGCCAGAGCAACTGATCTCCATCCCAAATCGGCTGCAGGTGATCAGCTCCTTGAAGTTGCACAGAGACATCGCAGACGGAGTGCCAATCGGAGAGAGCTATGGCGCTGGACCCTGACATAGTGTGGGTGGACAAAATCCATTTCGCACTGCCTAAGAAACCCTCGAATGATGATTCTACCGGTACATACAACAGAGAATGGTTTCCCAGAGTTTCAAGTTGGTGCAGGATTTCGTCCACCCGCACTAGCGTAACCTTTTTGTGAAAACTGGGTCACAACAAACAATTCCCATGTTGGTTTCCTGGGAAGGTCGGCGGGTCCAGGGGCTGGAGATGGGTCAAATTGAAATCAGGTTAGTCCCTGCTTCCACGGGCGATCTGTTGTGGGGTCGCCCTGTGTTTGACCACCCGGCTATCTTGAACGAACCGCTGACAGATGGGCCTTAAGCAACATGAACTGGCCCAACCATGATCTCAGAGCCCGCCCCTCCCTGGCAACCAGTCGGCAACCAGGGCGAGAATTGCTCGGACGAGCTCAAAACAACGTGACGTGTCACCCAGAAAAGTTAAGACTTCCCTTGAAGAGGGAGCCAACCCCCTTCAGGTACTTACTGGTGTGGCCCTTACAAGTGGCTCGTGAAGGGGCGTGCCTGTCCGGGGGGAAACTTGAAATTGCCCTCCCCTGCGCTTAAACTACTCTTCCCAGGATCACCCCCAGTTTTTAATTGTGGGTTTGGAGCAGTAAATTGTTGCAAGGATGGATCATCCTTCCCTTGATTTATGGTATTAGTCGTTCTTTTAGGAAGTTCGTGATATACTTTGTTCGATAGATTATTTGAGTATGATGGGCTCTTATTTAGTGTTAGTATATATATATATATATTTCAATTGATTATGGCTATATTTGTATTATCGCATGATCTTATAATTACTCTGCTAGGTTGAGATTGAGTAGGATTGATTAATTATTTACTTATTAATATTTCCTCTTCATGTTCGATTGCACAGCTTGGATTCGGAGGAGTGAACTTGCGGCGCCGAAGGTTGACGTACTCTTACCCCAATTCAGGGGTACAAACAATGTGTCTGATTCTGCCCATATTGGTTTGTGTTTTGGCGGATACCTTTTTCGAGGTTGGTTTAAAGAGAAACCAAAGGGGGACCGCCCAATTTTGGGCTCCCTTAAAACAAGGCACACCCATATCCACTTAGTGGCTCGTTGATCTGCAACAAGTCTCACTTTATACTTCTGCGGTGTGTCCGAAAATCCCTAACTCAAGTCAACAACTCTGATGGCGGAGAACTGCCAAGCTTCATCTAATGTTGACCCCGGATCTATCCCCTTGAAAAGTAATGAATCCCCACTAACAAGGGGACACCCCCCCCTATGAATCAACCAGGGGCAGTTCATGCGGGGTTCCCATTACCCCAAAACCAAGACATACCTCCAATCACGTAAGCCCCGTGGAAAAAAGTGAAGATGCCCAATACAATTGAAACCGACAAGGGAGATTAATACAGACTTTGGATGGATGAAATCCATTTCGCACGTTGCGATCACTTTTCTCAGTCACTGCTGGTTTTTGGTTGGTACAGTGGATGGAAAAAGCGATCGCAACTGGATCGATCCTGGCGGTTTCATTCCCCTGGCGCGATTTCTGGGCTTTCGCAATCGGCCTCGGCCGGCTGAAGCTCCTCCGCCTGCAGCCGGCGGAATTCGAGTTCGGGGGATCCCCGAGGCCCTGAGGCGCGGGGAGGTTGTTGTTTTTTTTTGCCCGGTGCCACGCCTGGGCGGCTCAAAATGAAGGATCTGTGACTGAACGGATCATTTCCTAACTGCATGGGCCAAAAAAGGCCACTGAACCTTTAGTTGGCTGCTAAAACTGTCTTTTCCAAATAGGGTAAAATCCAGAAATTCAGGAAGTAAGAACATCTTGACCCGAGAAGCTCAAGTCAGGAGGTTGGGCAACGCCTTGGTGAAGTCTCGTAACTCGCATCAGCTGGCTCCCGTGTTTGTTGTTGAAGTGGCAAATTTGATTGGGATTTGTTTACCCAAACGTCTAGCAAGCGCTTCTTCGAATCGCACAAGTCGCCAGAAACAGCGCAACGCTCAGCTCCCGAAATAACACAAACAGCCTCCGCACAGCGCGGAGGTAGACATGTGGCTCATACCCTCCAGGATGCAACAAAGGTCTCACTAATGGACTGCCAAGGTGTGGCCATAGGAGCAACTCATGGCTTGCACTGACTTTTCCTCTGCTCAGCTTTCATAGGGAAGCAAGGAACAAACAAGAGTAGAGCAAGATGCAAAGTGCGCATGAGCGTGCGAGCTTTATCTTTACGCAGGTCTTGCAAATAACGGCAACCACAAACATCTTGGAAATTGCAGTCTGCACGAGCTACTCAAATTCCCCCCCCCCCCGCCCCAAAAAGAAAAGAAAAGAAAGAGGTGTGGTTTCTCCCCCAACTTTCGCCGGCTGTTGCCTGCCAGCCAAAAACTAGGTGATTGATTCTGGGCCAGAGGTAGCGAACTTGAAAATGCAAAGCAACAACAACCGAGATCCCCGAACCATCGCCGTTCCGGCCCCCTCCCCCTTGTAAGCCTCATCCTTGACAAGCGCCTCGCGAGGCGGTGCGGGTGGCGTCTCCTAAAAGGTCAAAGGGGTTCGGTCTCACAAACTCCTTGCCCTGAAGCTCGTGTTGGTTGCGTTTTCACTGTATGTAGATCCTTAACTCCGTGAAGCGTCCATGCCGCCGGGATAGCAACCGCCAGGTGCGGGCAGGGCATGGCAGTGGCCTGGCTTGCCCATGTAAACGAAGGTGACTCTGCCCCTTTTGGCAGCCGCCGCTATGGAAATCGGGAGAAAGTACACATCAGCGCTGGGACACCACACCATCCAGTCAGACTAGAGCGTTTTTCTGCGAGCTCCCCATCCACCTGAAGCGAAGTAAGCCCATCACGTGCACGCAGCGGTGCCCTTTTCCTCCGCGTCAGAGTCAAGCTCCAGGTCAATGATCGGCACAGATCCTGGAAGGAGGGCGCTCCCATCTTAATCCACGCACCTGTTCTCACCAAGCTTTGTATCCTACTCCCTGGCTCTCCTAAATCCTCCAGTTAAAGACGGAATAAGGGTACCAACTTTTTCTCTAGTCTATTTTAGTAGGGGAAGCCAACATCCCAACCAAAAAAGAGGTGAAAGAACGGGCACTACTCAGGGCCTAGCGCAAACTCTTTTAACCCGATCTCACAAATCCCGTCTCCTCCTCGGTGTCCAGAGCTGGGCGCGGACGCGTCCTGCCCGCCATCAAAGTCCGCGCGGCTGTCGACAGCCGCGCCGGCAGGCCTCAGTGGAACAACTGGCAGCATGTGCGCGCCTTTCGTGGCAGCCTTAACTTTGATGCTGCAACGACCCCTCTGCAGAAAGTTTTTCACTTTTAGTGGGTTTAAGGGAAAACCCCGTGAAATCCCAAAAAGTTAAAGCCTGAAGATCCAACCCAATAGCAATCAAGTGAAAAGGCCGCTCCCTGGTCGTTTCTCCGCGGGGCCCCTACTTTTGGGGCTCAACCGTTTGGCAACGGCGGATGATCGGACCGAGCGCTCGCCAAGCAGCTCGGTGGCGCCTGCGGCAAGCTAGCGCGCCCCAATGATCCATGCCGCCCGCCCTGAACCAAATATCTCAGCATTCTCCCAACCCTTCCAAGAGTCCCCCTACAAAGTAACCCTAAGATGCTGGTGATTCCGGCGCGCACGCGCACACGTGTAGCGGGGCACAAGGGGGGGAACCTCATTCAGCAGCAGCGGCCTCGTATTCCTGTGTTGCATGGGGAGGGCTGCTGAGGATGTTGGGGATGCAGGGGGCGCTGGCAGTGACGATGCCAGCCGCCGTCAGCATCTCGGCTGAAGGCGCAACTAGCGAAAATAGCTGGTGATCAAGCGGGTGGGGGTCCGGCGCACGCGACTTGCGCAGGTTTTGACCCCAACGAAGCAGCGCCGGTGGTGCACCCAGAGCCTGCGAGCTTGAAGAAGCGATGCAAAGACGCCTCTGCCCGCACGGCCTGGGCAAGTTCAGCACTCCCCAAATTACGGAAAAGGCGGCGTCACAAGGGTGTGTTACTAGCTCCCTCAGTAGAGAGCTTGGAACCCTCCCCCCAAAATGGTAAAAGGGAACTACCGGCAAACCTGGGTTAGCGACTAGAATCGAAACAATGCCATGGCCAAGGCGATGGCTGGAGCCGATGTCCGCTTCTCCGGCCGCATATCGCCTGAGCGCGCGCGGGACGGGCTGCCCGAGGCTCGAGGCCCGAGGCCGTGGCGGTGCCACCGCACGTCGGCGCGGCTCAGTGTGGGGGCCCAGGAAAGTGGCCAGGCCTGCGGCCTCACCTCAGTGCCGTGGGAAGTCCATTTGGCACTTGGAACCTCATGGTTCAATCGCTGGTTTGTTGGCATTTGCCGGGGAATCATTGGATCATTCCAGGGTTTCTGAACAGTGCTGCGAGATGGAGTTCGCAAAAACCCACTGAATTCAGTTATTAAGTTGAACATCTTGGGCATTTGTTGGCAGAGCCAAATGGAATGACTGCGAACAACAACTGGCAGATTTATGACATGAGGTGGTGTTGTCCCACAGGCTTATCCTCAACCAGCCTGGCATTTCCATCAACCTGCATTTGCTTAAGTCCTTTGGAAGAAATAAACAAATATTTCCAGTAGTGTTAGATTCCCTTTAAAACCAACCGGAGCAAATAACACGCATTCCTAACCAAATGGAAGTCAAGCAACGCAACTCACGGCTGGTTTTTTGGGCACTGGGCCCCCCCGCGCCAGGGAAGTGACACACCGGGACGTCGTCCAGCTGCTTCTGCACCTCCTGCCGCACCTGGTCCGGCAGTCGCCAGCAGCCCAGGCCGCCGTTGCAAAACACCGGCGTCGGCAGCCGCAGCGAGGCGCTCAGAAGATTGCAGATGGGGCCGCCGGCATGTGGACCTCAGCGCCAACAGAAGGCAAGACAACAACAACTGGCAACTGGTCCGTTTCGTCTTGGTGACTCTTAGGTCTTCATATATGTACATATATTTCTAGAAATTGGGCGGTTGTCGAAATCTTGGGCCACATTCCTCCAGGTAAGCTGGTTTGCTCTTGGTTTCCCTTTAACACCCAAACGAGGTTCCCTCTCTTGGCTTTGTTGCAGTTGACCCCTCTGCAAAAAGTTTTTCACTTGTGGGCTTAGTGGAAAACCCAACTGATTTCAACCAAAAAGTTAAAGTCTAAAAGATCCGTTGCCCAATAGCAGTCAAGTTAGAAACACCCAAACGAGGCTTCACAGACGAGAGGCTGAACTTGCAGTGAGGCACATGCCGCAGGTCTCCAGTCGCTGGACCTCGCGCGAGCTTACCCGTTCTGCCGGCTGTTCAGCCGGGCACAACTTGCAGCTACAACAACCTGCGAAGGATCAAACCAGCGGAGCTGTCAGCTTTTTCTCGGCCACGATTTGGACGATTCGCCGGATCGAAGACTCACAGGCACTCTTGCAGGAACTGAGCAAACGGCCGTTGCATTCCTGCCAGCGACGGTGCTTGTGTCACTTCTTTCCTAGTGCTACCTTCCCCATTCTTTCCAGGGATCCTTCATTCTAGAAAACCTCCAGAAACCCAGGCAAACAGCCGGTTTTTGAAAAGAACGATGGTTGGAAAGAATGGACAAGGAATCAACCCTTAGATTGTTGGGAGCATGGGCTTCACATGTGGCTGTGGGTCAAAACCAATGGTACCATTTTCGGGTAGGTGCACCACCCATTTTAGAACCTATTTTAGTGGGGATTGGGATGTTCACCGGGGGTACAGATTTTTGACCCATGGCCATGTTCCCCCCACCTCATTGCAGCCGAAGTGCTCGCGAAGCTCCTGCAAGGTGACCTGAAAGCTTGAGTGGGCCTTGTCACAAGGAGGGCTCAAACATAGGCCTTCATTTACCAGGCTCCCTGAGCAAGACTTCTAAGCTTTAGCCGGGTGTGAAAAAAAGGAGTTAGCTTGCAAGAAGCTGAAAGGTCTAAAAAGCCCAAGTGCCGTCTAGTCAACTCGGTTGCTTTCTGCTCCCCTGCTAAAAGTTTAACTTTTAGTGGTTTAGCGGAAAACCCATTAGTTGGCAAAAAGTTAAAGTCCTAAGTCCTAACATCCAAGCAAAATGCAACAAAGTCAGCAAGGGGCTGAACACAAGTCCCAACCTGAGGCATGCCCACCAATAGGACCCCCTACTTTTTGAGCCCTCACATCACACAAAAAAAAACCATGCACCCGCACTTCCATTTGCTCAAGCTGGAAAAAATCCAGTGACAGATTCCCTTTGAAACCGACAGGGGGAAATGAACAACTATACATTTCAGCAAATGGACTGCTGGACCCCTGGATCCCTGGACGGCCCCAAGGTGCACTTTTGGACCCCTGGACGCCTCCAAGGCGCAGATCTCTTCACCCAAGCCGCGCCCACCACGCAGCCCTTGGGGCACTGCGCATCTGAAGGCAGCCCGGGCGCCAGGCGCCTCATGATCTGATCCTCAGGCCGTTATTCTTTGTTCGTTTTCCTCCGAGTTGGTTTGGTTTGGATTTGAAGCCCTCGGCTCCAAACCTAAAGGGAAGCTGACCAATCAAACCTCCAATTGGAGCTGAGGTGAGACTGCTTTTTTTTGTCATGTTGACCCAGGAATGTTGACCCGTCCCATTAGGGGGGTGAAAACCCCTCCAAAAGTGGTCTGAATCCCCACTAAAAGGGGACACCCCCCGATCAAAATCAACCTGGGGTTTATAAATCCGGGGCAAGCATTAGATCAGGTGGAACACTCATTTGCGTTCTACGCCCCCGGGAAAAATGAGAACCTGCTGCCAGTAGTAGTGTATAGATTTCCTTCAACACCAGAAAGGGAACATAACCACATGTTTCTTCAGAAAATGCAAGGTACCCTCCGACCACTTAACGTGGAGCCTGACGTTCGGGAAATGGCCCCTTTAGAAGGAACATGGTTGGATTCAGGACCGAACTTGAACTAGAGGGAGTAGATCAAAGTGGAAGGTTGGCTTTCCCTTGAACCTCCCTTCAGGGATGGTACTACAGTACTTTCTAAGAAGGGAGAACCCAAAAACATTCATTTGCTTAAGGCCCCTGGACTTAAAAATAAGAATTTGTCCAGCGGTGACATATTTTTGACAGATTCCCTTTAACACCAGGGGGATAAAAAACAAATATTCTTAAGAAAATGAAAGATGACCCTGGTCCTTACACCCGCAAACTCAACCCTCAATCTCCGGAGGCCCGAGGCCAACTCCAAGTCCCATGGTTCGTTGGGGCCTCCCACCGAGGAAGAATAGATCCGGAGCTCCTTGAGTCTGAATGCTCATGCTGGGTGCCCCGCCAAGAGCTCGTCACATTTGCCCTGCACAGGGTTCGGACAATTTGGGGAGCCAGGCAGGCGACAGCAAAGCTGACAGACACCACGCACACCGATCTAAAACCGGCCACTAACGAATAGAAAACGCAGAAGTGGTTCTAACACAGGGTAGCCCTCTTCTTGCCCCATGGAAAGCAAAGCATTCGGGAACCACCTTTAAAGTTGTTGGTGGACATGAATCCCCACCTAAATGATGGCCACCAAACGGTCTCTGATTAACATTCATAGTCATTTCCTTTTGGCTTCCCTTTAAGCCCGTCAAACAGTTTAGGTCCGCTATTTTGGAGAACCCCCCCAGAAAATCTCCAGGTTCCGTTTGGCTCCTTTTGGTTGGAACCATAGGAATGAAAAAGGGGGCCTCCATTTGGAGAACCCCCCCCCAGTCAGCCACGTTCAGAATGCTGTGCCGCATGCAACCACCCGGCCTTCCCTGTGTGCAACGCAATCCAACCAGCGGGAAGTCGTACCGACCTGTTCTCCACATCCTGACAAAGAACATCACCCGCAAAATGTGACTCATGCAGAAAGAAAGTTCCCCGAGCGGTTTGCTTGCTGCATTCGAGCGTTTGCAAGGCATGGCTTCCGTGAGAGAGAGGGCCGTCGTTGAAACAAAGGCGCTAGTAGCTCACGCGCAGACATCTGATCCCTGGACCACGGGCTTGAACTTGTTCAAACATCCGTAAAAAAGTGCCACAAAGCAGCTCATACGTCGACGTGTTGGAAAGGAATCCACCAAAACTTGTGCAACGCGAAGTCCCTCCCGTGGATTTTACGAATTCCATTGCGCACCACCTTAGCAACCCTGGAATGCTTCCATGATCAATGATTCAACCAACGTAAATACCAACAAACGATATGGAGTCTTCTGCGACGCTCAAGCGCTGTTGCGTGAGTCCTTGCCTGCGTGTGTGGCGTCATTTGATGCGGACAAACCAGCTGTGGGAAAAAGCAACTAGGCGCCTACGAAACCGTTCTGGAGCGTCAAAAGCAGCAATACTGTCGTGCCGTGCAGCTGCAAACGGGCAGAGCGCGACACCAAAAGCGCAGACTGACCGACAATGCCTCTGGCAGCACGGACAACTTCGGCCGGCGGCAAAAACGCCGCACCCTTGCTCCAAGCTCTGGACTCTGGGGCCCCTTTTGGTTTCAGAAGGGGTCGTCATGGGGCCTGCGTTTTGCATACAGGGGAAACATGCAACACACCCCGAGTTTTTCAAAAAAAAGAAAACAAAAAACGCAAATGTTCGGACTCTGACCCTATGGCATGTCTGACCTTCGAACGTTTGGTTTTGGACATTTCCGCCTTGAAGCCATGGAGGATGGCCTCCGTGATGACGCTCCCCCGCAGCGTAATGGCCGCTGTGACGCGGGGAGGCGCTTCGATCGCGAGCTCGGGCTCGGGCTCGTGGAGCTTCCGCCGCTTCGAAGCCATGGCGCCGGCCGCACATTGGCAGGGGGGGGGGGGTCGCACGACACTTGTCAGGTCCCCAAACGCCCGCCCAAATGGCTCAAAAACGTGGTACTCATGTTTGGGCTGGAAGCCAAGACCAAAACCTGCGCAACCCCAGCTCTTTACAACCAATTACTGCGCCGCTGCCAAACGCCCGCAATTGCTACGCCCGGCAAAGGGTCAATGAGTCAAGTTGCCCTGAAAAGCCACATGCTATTGATGAACAGCGGGGAAAACATCGTTTTTGGCGATGTGGCGCGGGGCGTTTTTTCGAAAGGTCGCCAACGAGCTGCCACTTCTCATTCCATTTTGCAGATGAATCGAGTTTGCTCCGGCACAGCCAGCACCTGCCCTCACAAACAGCTTGGAAAGCTCAGAAACTGAAGCTGTTCTGAATTCTCAGCAAATTGGTGTTGGTACAACTGTGATGCCAGGGACGCTGAAAAAAAGGAAACATATGTGACCTGTCCTGTTGGGGCCTGCGAACATCTCCCACACTATGCGTAAAGGCTTTCCTCCATACGAATGGCTGGCTTGGATTTACAGCCCTGGTCACCTCGGTGCTCTGTGCCATTTGCACATTGATGTCGAGCTGTTTGTGCGTGTGCATCCGTTCCGTCCTTGCAGACCTTTCTTGCTGCTTCATGACAGCTTGCTCCGTCGAGTTTTTGCAAATATTTGGCAACTTCGCTTTGCCTAAACCTTGATGCGGAATGGCAGTCCAGAGGAAGCACATGTTCCTCTGCCTTTGCAACCTGCTTGACACACGCAGAAAGCAGCGCACGACGATTGGAGCCCAACGATTGGCTCTTAGTAGGGGGATCGACAGGGGGAACCTCACCTCTCGGATTGAGACAAGTCGACTGAGACCTCACCTCTTGGATTGCTGAGAAGCTAAGCCTGGGCTATGGAGCACCCACGTTTAGCTCCTAAGGCTTGGCAGTTTCTTGAGGCAAGGGCACCGTGGGTGTGTTGCTTCTTCTAGGGCGTGCCATCCAGAAAATTCCGGGCCCCTGTGGTGGACATCAGAATTTGGAGGGGGATTTAGGTCCACACACCACTTTTAAGGGGGCTCTAGGGTACCTTCCCCATGCTTTCCAGGCACCCTTCCTTCTAGGAAACCTCCAATAGTTTTAGGAGGACAATAAAAGGAAATCAAGGGGTCGAAACACACAACTCGCTGTCAATGGGGGCCCAATCTAGGGGTTCATTCCTTTCTTCTCCACGCTTTTCAACCATCATTCTTCATTCAAGAACTAACGAAAGGAGAGTGTGGACACCTGTCCAAGCAGAACTCCAAAAAAGCATTCCTGAAGAGAATGCATCCGGGGGTTGAATCGTCGCAATATTATTTTGTCCCCTACCTCGAAGTTAAGCTTTTGGCGAGATCTGCCCCGGCCAAAAAAAAACAACAACAACGAGGGATTTCCGTTCCTTGACCTTCGAACCAAATCTGCCCTTCCGCACGAAGCATCCCATCCGCCGGCCCGCCTGCAAGGTCTCTGCAGCCTCCAGCGTCAGCGGAAGGCCTGGCTCTCGCGCGCGTTGCGCGTTTCGTGAGGCGGCCTGCGCCCGCCTTCGCGGCCGCGCGCCACTGGAACCAAAAGGTTTTGTATTACGCCCTGGGATTGCGCCCGCTCGCCCTGGGATTACGCCATGGTCGATTTCCGGGGATAAAATCATGTTATTTCAAGGGTGACAAGGGAAGTCCAGCAGTTGCAGTCAAAGCGGGGAACTCTCGTGCACGATGGCCTTCCCTGGTCGCGGACATCGTGTGTTGGAAGGCAGCTGAAGGGGGTTGCGTCGCTGATAGGCCGGAGAGTGGCATGCGACCATAACCTGCCGACCCTCAGCAACCTTGTTCCTGATAAACCGTGTCATGTTTTCTGTTGCAGCTTCATCGTAAATCTGACTAAACATGTAAACCCTAGGATTCAACCCCGCATGAAGAAAGGTTGACCCAAATTGGATGATGACAATCCTTAGGCAAACAATGGTGGTTAAATGTTGATTTAAACCCCAGGGTAAAGGGAAGACGAGACGAAAGAGAAGGAATACTTCCGTAGTCAATATGCAGTCCTAATGGCCCGAATGGTTGCTCCTTTTTTGGGTTGGCTCACCGATTTCTGGTTCACTCATCCACTTTGCTGAATCATGTGTGCAATAGGGGGACTCCCAAAGCCAATTGGGATGATGAAGCTCCTTAAGCAAATTATGGTACTGCGACATAAAATGTATATTTTGCAAGTTGTTAGCCTTGGATTTTTTTCAGGGGATCTCAGGATGGCTCAAATCTTGGTCCCGAGTGTTTGACATGGAAAACGCGCTTGCTCGCGTTACAACAACTCACCCAACTCAATAAGGAATCTCCAGGCACGCAAATCGGAACCAAATTTCGTTTGCTTTCTGCTCCCTTGCAAAAAGTTTAAATTGTAGTGTTTTAATGGAAAACCCATTAGTTGGCAAAAAGTTAAAGTCCTATCATCCAAGCAAAATTTACCACAAACATCCCTTTTCGGAAGTCGACCGCCTAAACAATTCCAATAAACAAAGTCATGGCCCATGCAACCCTCCTGGCAAGGCGCCCCTCCATGTATTGTCGTCACGAAGGAACAATGAACTGGGGAGGGTCCTTGGAGGGACATAACTCCACTTCGCAGCGCCGGTGGCAAACCAGAGTCTGCGTGACGGTACGTCGGGTGTCCCTCTCTAAATGCCTCCTTTCAGGATTCATTCCAAAGTCACATCCTCTACATCAGCCTCTTGTGTTTTTATACTGGCCGAAAGCTAATCTTTTGAGATACTCTGTTGAAGGGCTTGGGATCGATCCGCAGCCGGAACATCTTGCGAGCCCGCCTATGGTGTCGCCTGAGGCGCGGGCAGACATGCCGAGGCACCCAATAGAGGGCCTTTCTTATTTGGCTTCTTGCCGATTCATGTTTGCCCGAAAAGGAGCTTCCATTTGCTAAGTCAACTGGCAAAAAAGGAAAGATGTCCGGTAGTCGTAGATTCCCTTCAAAACCAACAGTGGAAAAAGTTGAGTATCTAACCTAATGGAGAGCATCATTGCTGGAACACACGAAGTAACAAATCAAACGAACCGCCGGACAGAGCCATTTTTCTGTTGGCAAAAGACCAGGCTTGTGCTTTTGCCTTCCAAACGCCCACAGGAACTACTGAATGGTGGGGCAGGGGGGCAGTTATGTTGCTTCTCCGGCAACTTTTACTCACCAACTATAGACTACCGATACTGCTATCCGTGCATTACTCACACTAAAACATCTACCTCTGTGCCACAAATATGGTCCTAACATGAATCCAGTCTTCCGCCCTGCCTCGCGCTTCCGCGCAACGCAGCTGGGTGTTCAAGAGCATCGCGCATGCGAGTTTCTCGGGCGTGACAGGTAGCTCCTGGACAAGTGAAGATCCTGTGCAAGCGTAGAACCTTCTTGGATAGCGGGGTCCCTCTCTTGCCGACTGAACATGGGCCAAAGGATGCGCCCGACCCTCAGCCCCCGCCCCACAAAGAAGCCTTTGGTCCCCAGCTCCTTGGCTCCAATTGAACCGCCAGCCAGAGGTTCCCTCCAAATCGCACCCCGAGGGTACTGGTAAATGCCTGGGCGCCCCGGCTGGTGATGCTCTGCATCTTGCGGCCCGGATCCTTGGAGCTCCGGAAGTGATGCCCTCAAAATTACAACCGTAATCGTGAGCTGAAAGGACATGTTCCCCCCAAGAGTCGTCTTGAGCATGTTCATTCTTTTATAGGGACCCAAGCAAAGGGCTCAGGATGGCTCAGGCTTCTATAGAGGGGGTGGATCAGCAGCACGCACTTGTAAACACGCAGTTTCACTTGCGGGCCCTCGGAAATCTAAGCAAACCTTTTCTGGCGTCCTTTGTAGGGAAACTGCAAGACCGGGAGATGTCAAACCCGCCTGGACAATTCAAGTTACAGATCCAGACAGGGAAGCCGGCGGTCCGAGTTTGCTGAGTGAGCCTTCCTGCGCGAAAGCATCAAACAGCATGAATCAAGGAAATCCGACGAGGCAAAACATGAAACAGGCTGGGTTGCTGAACATGAGGCCCCGGATTGCTAGGCTGCAGCCGTAGTGGAAAACCAGCACAAAGGGCTACACAAAATCAAGGGCAACAAAGCTTAAAAACAAAAAAAACCTGACCACGGAAAGTCATGTGAGCAATACATCAGTCCCTGGTTTGTTGCATTTTTTGCTGGAAATCAGAAACCATGGCAAACCATTGTTGGCATTTGCAGGGGAATCGAATCATTCCAGGGTTTCTTAAGTGGTTCAGAATTTCGTGCATCCACAGTATGTGCCAAATGGGGGACCCTCAAAAAGTAGCTGCGCTCTTTTCTGGGCTGTCCTCACATCCCCTGCTAAACATTCAAGTTGTGCGTCAACTGGAAACCCAACCATAAAACCAACTGAAAACCAGTAAAAAGCCAAGGAACTGAATGGCTGGGGACCACCAAGTTTCCGAAGCCTTTCCTCAAACGCCCAGCGGATTTGCATGGGAAAAGCGCATCCGACTTTGGTTGAGTTTAAAGGGCAGCCCTTTTGAAAGGGAAGAAAGGGCGAAACAAAGGCGGCTTCCCTGGTTTTACAGACCAACAAGGGGGGTCCTGGTATCCTCAAAACTGGGCTGTCCGAACTGCCCCCCTGCCAAAAGTGTAACCTTTGGTTGAATGGAAACCCAAGCACTAAATTAACCAAAAACACTTACAAGGCTAAACCGGGTGGCTGGTTCCGAGCCAGGAACAAAACCCAACCCAGGCCCAAAACCCAGTGACTCGGGCGCCCTGCCATCCAGTTCCGCGCCTCCAGCGCCAGCTTCACCGCCCGCCTCGGTTTTGTCCGAGGCGTCGGGGGCGTGGACGAAATTCATCCAACGCACCGCCGAAGAAGCCCGGGAACCACGAACCCCGTGTAAATACCAACAGACGGTGGTTCCTATGGCTTCAAAAGTGGTGCAGGATTTTGTCATCCACAGTGTGTGTGTGTGTGTGTGGGTGAGTGGAAGCAGGCACCATGTTAGGCACCTACCCTCCCATCAACAAACAGGTTGCAAACTGTTTTGCGCGCGTGGGTGGGAAACATCACCTTTTGGTAGGCTAATGTGTCAAGGCAAGCAATAGAGAACAATGCTTTGTAGTTAAACACGGAACCCTTTCGCTGCGTCGGCCATTTCCAATGGAGAATGCACCATTGCTGGCTGACACTCTTTTAAGTTTTTGCTTGCCCTTCTGAACTAAACCCACTCCTTGGTTGACGTTGAAAGGGGAGCAACAAGTTAAATTTTAGCAGTCAAGTGGGGATTTCAACCACTAAACCACAATCAGCAAAAATGTAACATGTTTCCCCACAAAAACCATGACTCCAAGAAAGTCCGCGAACGGGGCCTGAACCTCAGGTGGCCTTCACCAGGGGAAAACGTTTTGCCGCTGCCGATTTGTGCCGACGATCTGTTGCGGGCAACCCCTCTAAACAACAAGGGAGAAAGGGTGCCACTGAACAGCTGGGCTCTCGCCGGTTGATCAGCTTAAGAATCGCCTCCAACAAGAAGGTCGTTCTGAACTAAAGGAATTGAAATATTCTAGGGGTACCTGCCCCATTCTTTCCAGAAATCCTTCTTTCTAGACAACCTTCAGAAACCAAGGGACAACGGCTGGTTTTTTGAAAAGAACGATGGTTGAAAGAATGGGGAATCAACCCCTAGAGGCCATTCTTTGGGCCCAAAGGCCATTGGACGGAACAATTGAACGTGGGGTGCGAACTGAAAGCACAGTGTCTGGGAATGCGGGATAAAAACTCATGGGACCCACCCACCCACAACCTATCCAGCTTCTCACTTACGCATTGGGGGCCTGAAAATCGACGGGTGACCTTTTGAGACCTTCACTAAACATAGAACAACACCGAAGAACCAAGGTTACAAACTCGGGAAGTGAGTTTGTGAGATCCCACAATGCCAAAACACCCCATTTCTCACTTCCCAAGCTTCTTGCTACATCCAAAAAGGGTTTTCAACTCGAGAGTTGAGTTCATCGACTGCCCCTAACTCGCTCCAACCGAAGCTTCGGCTCTCGAGCCGTCGATGGATTTGGGGCGCCCGGGCGCCGAGCTTTGCGGAGCATGCAGCACCCAAGGCCTCGGGAGAGACGCCAAAGGGTCCGAATGAAGGGCCAACGGGTCCCGAGTTTCCCTCAGCCGAAGCCACAGGAACCGCACCACAAGTTCTAGGTTTGAACAGCACACATCCTGCAGTAAATGAGTGGCAATGAGGAGGGCATGAGACCTACTATTGATATCAGCAAGGGGGGAGGGTTAGGAGAGGGAGGTTGCGATCCTATGAAGGCAAAGGTCGGCATTCATGCGGCCGGGCATGCAAATTGAGTTAATGCAACCAACAAAGCCTTGGACGCCCGATTGAAGTGTTGGGCTATGGCTATGACCAACAATCGACCGCTCTGCAACTGTGTCACCAGGCCGCCCTTGTTGCGATTTGTCAGGAGCACCTTTCTCTCCCCCAAACCAATCTCGGCTTTTGATCCAAGCAAAACGCATCCATTTGTATGTCCACATTTAGCCTGTCAACAAGCGTCAAAAGAGATTCAACAGACAGAAGCTGCCATCAGGAGATGGGAACTTCTAGGGGAAGGCCTTTCCCCTGCGTGAGGTTGAAGCCGAGCTCAGATTCAGGCGCTGCCGGGTCACTGGAGCTGCTCGTAGCATCCTGAAGAGCTCGTGCAAGAAATTGAACAGCGCCAATACATTCTGGCCATCTCTTTCTCCAACTTCTTGTCAGAACGTCAACATTGCACAAGCTGATTTTAACCCCTGAGCTCTTTCGGTAGCATGGGATTATGTATTTGGTGCTCTCGGGACACAAGCCGTCCCCTGAAATACTTCCAGCACTGATCACCCAAACACCCGTGGTGGCCCTCTTCCTCTCTTGTCGGATGGTAAAATCAACCGCAACCCCCGGGTGCACAGTGGCCAAGTCTGGGACATTCTGCCTTAGATAGTTCTTTCTACCCCGAACATGGCCGATAAAATAGAAGAGACCTCTAAAGGATGAAACAGGAAAAGGACGAAACAGGGTACTGCGAAATTCATCCCTCTACTTCTATAGATCAACCGCAGGGCCTGGACATCATTTGCCTATTTAGCACCCTATGGGCCCTGTCTGCTTCGTATGTAGCCTACCCTATCGTCTGCCCGCCCTGAACTTGGTCTTCCCGAAAAACTGAGTTGCCCAAAGGACGTAGAAACTAAAAGGTGAGTTTCATTTGGGACCTGTACGAAAAGGCTGCCAAAAAGGGGCAACCAAAGGTCAAAGGTCGGTTTTGAACAAATGAGGGTAGCAGACAGTCAACCAAATGGTTGTCCAGATGTTGAGTTCCCCTATCTCCCTTGCCTTGAGGAGGTAAAGTGTTCCCCCCTATAGTCCCTTTCTTATCGTCGACCCAAAAAAGATAATATTGTGGATGGACGGAATCCGGCACCACCTAACACGCCCTGGAATGATGATTCTCCTGCAAATCCCAACAAGCGATGGTTTCAACCATGGCTTCAAAGCGATGCGAGATGGACTTCGTCCATCCAGCGTATGTTTCGAAGGTGACCCCAGCCAAGTTCGACCATTCCATCGATCCGTCTCCTCGCGGAAGTTCTGCCAAAGCCGCGCGACGCCTGATGCTGGGAAATGCTGGGAGTAAGGACCTGGGAGTAAGGACCCGGGTTGTGGTACTGTGGATGGACGAAATCCTTCACCACCTAAAAATCCCTGCGAGGATTCGATTCCCGTGAAATTACAAAGAAAGAAATGTGTCCCACGGTTTCAAATTGGTGCAGGATTTCGTCCATCCACAGTAGTTCTGGTTTACATCGGCCTTACTATAGCCCCCAAACCAGGGAACGACACACTTAAATGGCCAAAAAAGGGGGGGCGCTGCTCACATGCTCCCCTTTGCAAACTAGCGGAACGAACCCCCCCCTAGCGGTTCCCGGGTGGGATCCGGGCTTTGAACCTTTGGTTCTTCGTGAAACACAACAGGTTTTCACCGAAGCGCCAGGGAGCAAGCGCAAGCTCATGTGCCCCGTTTACATGGGGTCCTCCATGGAGTCCCGATGCTCAAAATCGCCAAGCAGTAGGTGCTTTTTTTGACACAAGAATGGCATAGCTGTCTCTACACCCTCCTGCATGGCCTTGCCAACTTCTGGCTGACCTTGCCTGTGGCGAATTTAACTCCATTCCAAGCAGTATCTGAGGGAAACAATCCCAGATTCTGACTTGGAAAGCCCCCGCCAGTCGTGGAAGGTGCACCCAAATTCCGCCCAGCTATCTCTTGCAGAAGGGGAAGTGAAGCAGATTGCACCCCCGCAGCATTTTCCGCACCAGACCGTACTCACTCACCCAAAGAATCCAAACCTCCCACTCCCCTTGCCCACTCACATGATTGCCTCGAATCAAGGCTTTTGCGAGGCCGCAAGCTAGGGTCCTATTTGGGGGAAATCACTTGGGAAGGTTGAGGGAGGGAGGGTGGAATCCTACGACTTCATAAGCCTCTCTCACATCTCCGCAGCGGATGGGAGAGAGAGCGTCAAAAAACACCCTTGGCTTGGTTGCTTTCTGCTCCCCTGCTAATTAGCAAATGGAAAACCCATTAGTTGGCAAAAAGTGAAAGTCCAAACATCCAAGCAACATGCAACAAAGTTGGGATCGCCTGGCTTCCTTCAAGGAGCAACCGGATTCCGCAAGGGTTGGCAGCACGTTCCGCACCGAAGCGAACTGGAGCGGCGCACGTGCCAAGTTCTCGTCCAGGCGAGCGTTGGCAATGTCAAGGAGCACCTGGCACAAGCACAGCAGACCAAGACGCTTGACGCAAGCGTCCACGCAGACATGCTGAGTGGACTTGCCAAAGCATGTTTATGTATAACATGTCCTTTTCCACTAGAGTAACACGGTCTTCCGGAAAAAAAAAACTAAAAACAAACTCCCAACAATTGTAAAAACGCAGAAACTTGGGAAGTAAGACAGACAGGAACTCGGTGCTAAATCGGAGGGAATCCGCCAGGAGAGGGGCAGAATTGGGTATTCTGCAATCGGGGTAAAACCCTCATTGAGCAAAGGGGTAGGGCTCAACGTCGACTTTGCACCTGGATCGCCAGTTGCGATCGCTTTTTCCCATGCACTTTACCCCAAACACCAGCAACAGTGACTGAAAAAAAAGCGATCGCAACTCAGCAATCTAGGTAGCTCTCCTCAGTTGCCCGAGTCTTTGTCTTCCATGTCATTCCCTTTTTTCGGCGCCAAACATGAACATACCTGGTCATTCGTAGGGTTCCCCTCCCCCAAACCTCCTATGAGTCACCACGGCCGTTGAACCGCCACCGGATGGCCCCTCTTTGGGGCCCCTTGGAACCGACCAAGGTCCATCTTCGCATCGATTTGCAACGGCAAACCTTGCTCAAACCAAGACCTGGTTCCACTTCTCACTCGCAAAGGGGCCAACGGCCCACGCCTGGTGCCAACCAAAACTCACCTGTGACGCAGGCAAATCCAATGGTTTCCCCCCCAACGCGTTTATCCGCTTATTCCAACCCAACACACATCTACTTAAAAACCCAATCTTTCTTGTGCTTTGTTCGGACCCCTTTTCCTGGATTTTCCCTGACTCTTCCTGGGTTTCACGTGGCTTTTGGATTTCCCCTGGCTCTTCCTGGGTTTCAACGGGTTTCCCCTGGACTTCACGTGGGCTTCACCCCGCGCGAGCGTTCCGCCCGTGCCTTGAAGTAGGCCTCCTCCACCAAGACCCGGCCATCCATGGCCAAGGGCACCTCCAAACGCATCGCCTCAGAAGGCGCGCGTGCGCGCCAGCTCGCGTCAGTTTGTTTTTGGGAGGGTTTTCGGACCCCCTGCCCCCCCCCAACGAAAAAACAAAAGAAACAATAATAATCTGGAGGGTTTTGTTGCCCAACCATGTTTTTGGGTGAAACATCTCAAGTTCTTGGGGAATACCCTCTTTGCAAGAATGGAAGTGGGCGTGTTTTGGGGGTCTACCAAGGATATAGGCTTCCAAAACCATCCGGAAGTCAGCTTCCGTGATTGGAGGGAGGGTAATTTTGAGTTTTCTTTGAAACCAATTGACATGTTATGCAATGTTTCGCAGCCGAAAAGGCGGTAGTGAATGTACTGTGGACGAGCTACATCACTTAAATCCTATTTTGGACGGGCTTCTTTCTCACCCTTGACGACAGCCTCTCGGATAGAGTCTCCACAGAGTCTTCGCTTGTCAGCCTTCCTTGGAGTCCATGATGGCGCCCCACTTTCAGATTCGAAATCGTGAGGACCCCCTGGCTAGACCTTACTCAGTGGATCCATTCACCTGTATAGCTGGTAACCAAGGGAAGCACACTGTAAAAATTAAAAGGAACAAAGCTGGTCACCTACTATAATATGGGTAGTTAACTGGGATCCGCTGGGTGATTTTCCATTGCCCCAAGGCAAACCACGGGAATTGCATAAACGAAGCCACGCCTTTCGCTGGATGTGGACCGGGCCCCTCCCTGGTCCATATATGCATGAACCAGGGAGATGGGATCTCAAAACATCTGAGCCACCAGGGGTGTCATGGGAAACTAGGGTTCCTGCCCCAGCTTTCGCGGGAAGTTTCGGGCTCCTCGCCCTTGCTGGTCCCTTTAAACTCCTGAAAGGGTCCGTGACAGTTGTGAAAGAGTTCTTTAAGCCCTGGCAGGGGGCCACGCCATACGCCACGGGCCCGCCGGGGCCGCCGCCAAGGTGCGGACTTGCAGCATCACCCGCTTCCGGCCCAAGCCTCGAGACCAATTGGGGTCCAAGGGGAATGGCATCGCAAAAAGGCGAACTGACAATGCAGAGTGAGCTGGTAGATGGCACTACTTATTCCCCTTGTCCGCAACGGACGACAAAACCTCAATCGGCAGGTTGTGCCGAATACTTTCACCCTATAGGTTAAGTCTGGTAATGATTCGGAATAGGGAAGCAACATATATTTCGGAAATGAACCAATGAATTCACAGAAACGCCCGTTTCCCGGTCATCCGAGAGCCCCGGCTGATGCCGCTCTCGCGGAAGCCAGCCTGTTTGCAGTTCCGCGGCGCGCGGTTTCGGCGTTTCCGTGGCCCTGGTGCGACCGGTTGACCCGAAACAGGAAGCCTTCTTGTGGTTGAACCTTCTTGTGAGCCCAAGCAGAAAGGGAACAACTTGGCCCAACTTGCAAAGGAATCTGGAAGTGTATTGTTAAGCTTTTGGTGGTGGTTGGAAAAGGCACCAACCAAAGCGCATGCGTTACCTGTGCCAGAAAGGAATGTGTTTAAGAAGCAGCTGGCACAACAAAATGGATGGACTCGGCAGTGCTAAGAACAAGGTGCTTCTTTCAAAAGGGACCTAGGCCGTTGCTATGACCATTTCGCAAAGGGGAATCACTGAAACTGGGCCACAGCAGCTTTCTCTGCAAAACAATGCAACCTCAACCTGCTCCTCGACTCCCTTTTGATCTCCCAAGCATCGGAAAGGCAGTCGAACCAAAGACCAACCAACCCCGTGGTTCCAGTCAACTTAATGCATCCCCCAGCGCGTCTCCCAAATTCAGCCATGTGTACCCCGCTGGAAAACAACTATAATTGGCAACCTGGAAATAAAACAACCTTGTAGTAATGGACCTTGCTCATTGGTGAGCTTATGATTTGTCCAGAACCATTCCCACTTTTTCAGGTAAACATGTGATCGGAATTCTTTGCTTTCCCTTTGACCGCCGAGTAGCTTCGCCAACCTCTTTGTTTGCTACTAAACTGGTCTTCCCAAAGAGTCAAAGGTCCAGAAATTCGAGCAAGTATTTCCAAGCATCAACCAACAAATGTCAACCTACCGACAACAAGCGTGCCCTCAACCAAAGACAGACCCAAATGAGCCCCAAACTCAGATTTGCTTCGGCCCCCCTGGAAAAATGAGAACCTATTTCCAGTAGTGATAGTTTTCCTCCAACACATAAAAGCAAAATAACAAATATGTGTTTCAGCCATTTCCCTTCTATGTGATGATTCCCCACATTTCACCCAGGGACCCCACCAGATGCCAACAAATGATTCCCCAAACCCGTCTCCCAAGGCAATTTTTGAGCCCAAACTGTTTCGCCCAACCCGAGCTACGGGCGGCCTCCCGTGCGGCGCCCAGCATGCGCTGGGCCGTGGAGGCGTCTGCGCCTCAGGCGCAAACCATTCGCAGAAGTACTTGGGGACCCAACTACTTCCATTTGCGTTCTACGCCCAATGGAAAAATGAGAGCCGATTTGTCCAGTGATAAATCCGTTTACTGTAAACCAACGAGGGATTTTTGTTTGAACAACTTGAGCAAATGGAAGTTTGGGACATCACCAATGGTTCACGGGTTCTATGTCCACCAGCATTTGGGATGGTGTTCCCCAAGAACATAGCCGTTCATATCTTGCTGGCTCTTGGTAGGGAATGAGGGAATGACCCCGATGAACCAGGCCAGTGGTTTCCGTCAACGATTTTCCTTACCCAGAGGCTCCTGGGGCTTTCAATGGAAGACCCGACCCAGGATGACCCTGCGAGGAAAAGCGGGAAGGCTTTTCGGGGTTGACCAGTCTTAGCAGGGCAGAACGGGGGGCATTTTAGGCCCCACTTGGCAGGGCCAAAACCGCGCAATGTGTATCGTCCCGGCCCCTGGCCAAGTAGCAAACAGCTTTGCTTTATTCGGCAGCCTGCCACATAATATTAACAGAAACTTCGCTGTCACGCAAACCCATGCCACCACAGAAACATGTCAAGCACAAACAAGCTGTGATACTGTGTTTCATTTAGCGTTCGGAATTTAACACACATCCATCCATCCCCGTCATTATGGCATGGTTGACGCATGTTGACGCTGGTTTGCTGACGGTTTTGTTCACTGAAAAATTACACATGTTGGACACCAACCCCGCAGTGGGGTTGTGTTCTGCTCCTGTGGATGGACGAAATCCGTTCGCACCACTTTGAAGCCAACCCTTGTTCGTTGGTATTTACGTTGCGGAATCCAGTTATTCTCTTGGGTTTCTGAACGGTGCGAAATCCATCCGCCTAACCTTTTAGGCTTGGAAACGAGCAAAGGGATCGGTTTCGACCCACATGTTGTTGCAATGTCTGATGGTCTGAGAACGGACATGCAGGGGTGTGTCTCCAAATGAAGGGACCCCACCCCCGAAAGAAAACGGACTCTGGTTGCCTTGCAAACCAACCTAAAGCGGGTTCCCCCAAAAGAACCACGCATATCCGAGAAACCGTTTCCCCCAAATCCCGGTTTTTGGCTCTGTGGCTAAGTTCCGAATTTCCATGATGTTGTTCCACCGTCCCTGGCAGCTCCCTTATCTCCCTCTTCCCGGACGCAAACTTGGATACCAGCTCTTCGGCTCCCAACACCTGGCGTGTGTCACAAGCAAGGGCTCAAGAAAGGGGACCCCATGGCTGTAGGGTTTTGAACCCCAGTGAACATCCGATTCAATCCAACAACTAAAATAGGTCCTAAAATGGGTGGTGAATTCACCGATCCCAACCAAAATGGGATCCCATTGGTTTGGACCCACGCCCCCATGACCGCTGAAAAACCGGAGCCTGGAGCTAGCGACGTCCGTTCGGGCTCCCGGCACTCCGCATGCAGCACGAAGGGCTCCAGGAGCAGCGTGGTCAGCGTGCCCTGAAAGCGCGGAGGAATCGACAGGAAGCCTTTTGGGGCTGGTTTCTAGGGGAGAAGTGCCAAAAACGGGGGAAAAACAACAACACATAACAACCAAACTAGCAAAGGCATTGCATTAAGAAGCTACACAAAAATAGGTGCACATATGCAACCAGTGGATGAACAACATCCACTTCAAACTATTCTGTATGATCCCAATTGGTGAGGATTGGTCCATTTGCAGTATGAGACGACTGGCCAAAACCAGTTTAAATTATCGGGCCTTGACTCAAACGTGGCCGAACATGGAAGCTTAGTTTGCCAAGCCAACAGGCATGCACCACGCAAACAACACAACCCTTTTTGGCCGAACTCCACATGACACAGGAAACTTTCCAAGCAATCGGCTAGGAAAAACATGCTGATAAGAGAGGGGCTCGCCTCATTTGACTGCACCCAAGCCAAGTGGGGTTGGCCACCTTCCTGCCGGCCTCCCGCTAGAAAGAGGGGACCGCCTCTTTTAAAGTTGCAGTAGTCTTGCCGGCACATCAATCGTCCCTTGTCATAAAACCCCCTCTCGGTTCCATGCTGAGAACCAGCCTTTGTATTTCTGGGACCTTGCTCGATAGCCAACATGGGCCAACCAAACAGGGAAAAAGGCTTGCTTTGTCAGTACTCGGAAAATGCTGTGGATGACCTCACATTGCAAGTGATACTGCGGATGGACGAAATCCATCCAACGCACCACCTCAGAAACCCAGGAATGATGATTCTCCCCTGTAAATACCAACAAGCAACGGCCTCCCATGGTTTCAAAGCGGTGCGAAGCGGATTTCGTCCATCCAGAGTATGGCCTACGCCTAACCAACAGCGCTGTCCAGATACAGCAAGTTATAGGGACCTATTTGTCATGTTTAAAGAACTCACGGGAAGGATCCATGTGTCTTCTGCTGTCGCGCCCGTGACAGACTGAATGTTGCAACAGCAACACCTCAATAGAAGACAGGCAGCAAAGCCAAGTAGCAAAACACCAAACCTCCAGTGCTCAAGGGAGCTGAATTGCAGGAAGACTCCGTCGCCTGCACAATGGATGCACATATATGAGGGTGTGTATGTGTATGTGCGTGTGGGTCTTTAACGAAAGTTGCTTAGAATGGACACCTCAGGGGCGCCATGCGTTTGGGCGCTTCTCCTCTTTGGCTCCGACCTTCTTAGTCTGCATGGTTTGAGAGCTACGACGCAAAACGCGGTTCGCCTCAGCATCCGCATCTCCTAGCCTCAGCTCGGGCGGCTTTGCTTCCACTGCCCCGAAGCCACTCAAAGAACATGGCGAAGAACACTTTTTGCGACATATACCCCTGAACCCAGTCTTGCGCCATAGTTGCTGCATCCCCAGTTTGGGCGCTTTGGGGTAATGGAAAGCGTCGTACAGCATATGCTGAGCTCAACTTGTAAGATGTCTTCTGGTTTGCCTAGAGGTCAGCAAGTGCAGTAGCTCTAGGCAGTGATTCCCCATTCTTTCCAGCCCAGGGTGTTTCGTGGTTTTGCTAGAAAGCTCCGGATAGGAAAGGAATGGGACCGTTGTTTTCCCGAGCCTTGGGGAGCTTTGGGAGGCCGAGTTCCCCGAGGGTTTCGCGGCGGCGGGGCGAAAAGTCGCCTTCAATCCGCAGGGATCGCTGTGACAGCATACTCCATGCCCGAAACCGAAGCCACTCAGCAATTAAACCATCCGGTTGCATGCTCCGAATCTTGTCACCCGAATGCAGAACCCGGGCGTGCGCCACACCTCAAGTTGCTTTAGGTCTCAACACAGGTGGTTTTGGAGCGCAAAACTCTAGCAGGATTCTTAGGGTACTTCAAACTTCGCAAAGTCTCTGCATCATGTCACCCCTGAATGCTTGCAGGTCACGTCCCAGGCTTCGTTCCTCAAATGCCCCCTTCAAACACCACCCAAGATGTGAGTTTAGCGCCGCTTCCCATTGGTTTTGGTGGTGAAAGAACCCAGGCCTTGCGTGGCCTTGGGGAAAATAGGGTAGCCCTCTGCTTTCGATAGTTGATGCTCAAAACCCCACCTCCTCCAAAAACCAAAGAAAGATAATTGCCACCCACCGAAAATCTGCGTGAAGAATCGTCCCTTCGGAGTCCTCGTTTTGGCCGCCCTCCCAAACAAACCGCCTGACTGAGGCTCAGGGCGATTGCAGCTGCGCCCAAACCTCCGCGGGGTTCTCCACTTTGGTGTGGCTGGCCCTTGGGCGGTTGGATGGTTGTTTGGACCACGAGTTGGTTGTTCAGTTGTTGCTCATGTTGTTCTCTGTCCATTTTTAATATTGATTTAGGAAATACTAAAAGGATAGCAAAGATACTTAAATTGTTGGCACCAGGAAGGAAAATCATGTCCGACCAGTGGGCCTCATAATTTCCGGTGGGCTTGCGTAGCTCCTGATTTGGGGGGCCTCATAACTTTCGGTTTGGGGTTTGGGGGGCCGGGGGGCTTCAGGATTTTCTGGATCTACTGTACTTCCGGTTTCGGTTGGGGGCTTCAGGATTTTATCTGGCATACTTCTTGATTTGAACAGTCCAAGTCAGTGCACACTTGGCTTTTGTATTTTTCTGATTGTGACGTTCGCGTTCACCTGCTTATCTGGGATTCCAAACCTGGTCAAACAGCCTTCAAGGCCATTTTCAAGATATAAAGATCGCCACCTGATAATTGAAGGCTCGGTTCTGGCTTGGGTGTGCTCACTTGCCCTGTGGTCTAAGGGTACAGTCAAAAACGACATGGGCGACTGGGATGGAGCTCCCCTAACCTGCCAGAAACGCAAACAAAAAACAACAACAAGTAAAATCAGGCAAGCCCGAATTGGTGGTTTGAAGCCTGTTGGTTTGGATTAGGACTTGAATCCCTGATTCTTGAGGGGAACACACTCTTTTTGAACTTGGGTTTGTCAAGGCTTTGGCCTTTGATTCAGTGAACTTTAAAGCCAGTCCCAGCCAAGAAGCACGGTTCAACTTGCCTTGGTAGGGCTTGGTTTCGATTAACAATTGTGTAGCATTCCTGGTGGTGATATTCTCCATTAGTGGTTGGGGGTATTGAAGGCTAGCTTCCCCCTCATTGGTGGAGTCCGTTGGTTGAAGTTGGACAACGACGTGGCACTCACCTTCCATACATTTCCTGACCCAATGAGGGAAACGTAGGAAGGGTCCCTTCGTCAAGGGTACATAGGTTACTTTGGCAGCGTCGCTGCCAAACATCGAGGGAGGTTCCCACGGCAAGTCATGGCCACTAATTAGTCCCCAAGCATCTCTGTTCGGACAACGGGTCCCACCTCAGTGTTAATCACATGTTCAGACCCTCGTCCAGTTTCTAGTAAACACACACAGGTGAAATAATGTCAAATGAGATTACATAATCGTGGTGGACTAGTTCAACGACTGGCATTCAGGGTCCCAAAAACACCCAAGAGATCTTTACTGACCTGCGCAACGAACCAACAAATCCAACAAGATATTCAAAAGGAAAGACCAGCAGAAACGCAAAACCCACTGATCCCAATCTGGCTTCTCCAGTCCCACTAAACCCACAGTGGCCCTGGAAAAAAAAGGTCACTCTCTTTTGGGTTGACTTTAAAGCAGGGGAACCCGCCTCCAAAAACAAGAAGAACACCTCAGTTGCCCCTCGGGAACCCAGATCTACAGGGTAATCACATGTTCGGAACTTTACTAAAAGTGGTTGCCAAATCAGGGAAACCAAAAAGCAGATCCGGTCGGCTCGATTTGGAAAGTGAGATAAAGGACGGACAGGGCGTTAAAAAGGTAAATGTTCGGAACCGACAAGTCCGAAGGCATACTCGCCATGGGCAACTGAATCAAAAGAACAATCAGCAAGGTAACTCTCGTTGGAGGACACTTAGCTTTGGCTGCTTGGTGGGGAACACAAAAGTTTTACAACACTACCCCAGCTTTTGCCAGCGACAAACAGTATGTTTGACCCTGGTCCATACATATGCGAACCTTGCAACGTAGAAAAAAAGCCACAACACTTGCTGGTACTCAGCAAATGAGGGAATGACGCCTATAAACCCATCCCCTATTGTTTCCTTTCTTAGGGAATCCCAAAACGGTTCATTCCATTTCTCATCATTCCCTACTTATCGCATCAGGAAGAGACCCAAACCCATGTAAAGAAGTACAGAGGCGGCTGCAACTAATTCTGGCTGGGATTTTCCCTGACTCACTAATGACTGATTCGCCCAGAAGGAATCGCTTGCGATCGAGGGCCTGGCAAAAGCCACTTGCCACCTGCGCCGAGTGGCGAGTTTGAACCACCTGGTTCAAAGCACTGAGGCTTTAACCGGTGGGTTTGGCTCAAAATAGATCTACCACACAGATGGTGGTTGTCCTTTTGGTTTCCTTGCAAACCAACCGAACACAGGGAACCTCAAAAAAGCCAGATCCAAGTGTACTCTCTTGCTTGGCTCCAGCGACGGTTGAACAACAAGCTAGAAAACAAGTTTTATCATATTCCAAGTTTGCTTCTGAGCAAGTCAGAGCACCGGCCACGTGGAGTGCTCAAATGAAGGGGGAGGCAAGTGAATTGAGACAGCTAAGGAAAAGCAGGCAAATGTTGGGGTGGGTAGAGAAGCACACAATGCAGGGACTCCTGCATGTGCCGTAAGCCCGGGAAGTTCGCTCAGTGATAACCGCTCTACCCAGCTACCTCGCACCTCGGTAATCCTACCCGTGAAACTCCCAACCTCCGGCTTTCCCTTACCCCAGCAAGGGCAAGGCCGCTCCAAGATGGTTTCCAGTAATTACCCCCAAAGCGAAGCTACCCCCAGGCTAAATTGGGGTATATACCCTTTATATAGTGAGGGGGCCTCTGAAACAAGACGCGTCAAAATGGACGGGGGGGGGGGGCTTGATTTTCCTTTTGAGCCCCCCCCTTTAACCAGCCTTACCTGAGCCCTCAAACTACCCCTAAAAATGGGTGTTTGCTGCAAAAGTTATGGTTGGCGAATTCCCTTCCTGGGTAGGTGGCGGGAGGTACACAGGAACCGACAGCACACCCAACCGCCCAGCAACCGGGGCCCCGGCCTTTGGAATTAGCCGAATCCCCAGAGCCTCGCGCGGAGTTCTTTGGGATCCGTGGGACGCTTCAAGCCGACCGGGGGGAGTTGCCTGACCGTTGATTTTTTCCTCTTTTTGTAACATATCTCTTGCTGCCTGGGTGGATTGGCCAGAAAAGGAAACATAACTCTTGTGTACCAACAAATTGCTTGTACAAAAAGTGACGAACGTCCAGGAACTCGGGGAGGGAGCCTCTTTTGAGTTGAGCGCCCTTTCTTTCTGGGGTTGGTCTCTCTTCCCATGTGGATCGGCCAAAAGAAGTATCGGAACTTGTTTAGTGACGCCACTACAATGGCCCAAACCCAAGTAGAAAGTCCAGAGGACCTAGGGAGTGGGTTGTAGGGAAGCCAAAGCGTCCCCTTCTACGAGGCACACCCATGGTCAAACTCGAACCTGGCTCATGACCCCAGCCCACGTGAGTTCTGAAACGGGACGATGGGGGACCAGTCCATGGAATCCCCTGAACAGACTATGGACCAAACGGGGGAAACTAACGGAGCCAAGCATTTGAGCGATCTACGTGACGATTCGGTCACAAAGAGCTGCATCGCTTCCCGCTTCGCTCAAAAAGCTGAGGGTGAAAAAAAAAGGGAAGACCTAAATCGCTCACGTCCTGAGTAGACCAACCCGAGAGAAACCGTGCTGAAAGCGCAGTATGAATCTGGGTGCCAAATAATAATAATAATAATAACAATAGTAATAAAAAATATACGAGGAAACCTGGAGCCACCATCATCATCCATGAACTAAGATTCCTTCAAGGAGAACGACAATTCTGGGAGCACCAGCTCCAGAAACAAACATAACCAAACATATTGTTTGGAGGATTTCCTTTGCGGCACTTGCGGCTGGCTTCCTTTTGTACAGCGCAGCAGCGCCCCAAGCCGCATCCTATTGGAAATTTCAATAGGTGCTTTGGTTACCATCGTGGCTTAAGTGGGGTTGTATGTAATAAAGCCTGTAGAACCACGAGTCAATGGGTTTCGCCAAACTCTTGGGTACACCCAAGCCGTATGTGAAAATTCCGCTTCGGCTTAAGTCTACCTGTAACCCAAACACACTCCCATTTGTAGTATCGACATATCCTCCCGCTTTTTGGGTTGCCGAACCTTTTACTTACAACCAAAATGGTCTGCACGAAAAGCTTAAAGTACAGGTAATTGTGAGACCACCACCCTCCCCTTGGCTTCCCTTGGGAGGACCGAGTCTAACGTGGCGCGGGGATTTGTCTCTTTTTCGCTCACTCGGCTTCCCGGCCGTGGAAAATGGCGATGCGGCCGCTGCAGGAGGAGGTGGTGACCACCTTGGGCCGAAGGGGAACTATGGAGAAGTTTTGCGGTTGATTTTTAGTTCAGTTTTTCTTTAGAAGGGGGCGGGCAAGGAGGCCAGGAGGGGTGACAAGTTATTTGGGAGAGCTCTGTGGAATGGTCCGTACCTGTGTTCGGTTCCTGCTGGGCTCTATCTTCTTAACTTGCCTCTGGATTTTTCTGGACATCCGCACGCACGGGTTGCCAACAGATTGCTTGCTGGGCGAGTGCAAAATGGAGGCTTGCATGCTCGAGAAGAAGAACTGGAAAGGGGATTGGCTTTGAACCCTGGCAGGACTGCTTCATGTGACCGACCAATGGCCCAAGGCTTCGATGGAAAGTGTGCGAAGCCCGATCTCCGCCCCCCCCCCCCCCCCCTGCGCCACAGGAATCGCATGCGTGTGCTAAAGTATGGAAGGCCACAAAAGACTGAGAACCGCATATCTTCGCCAAGCATAGATATAGCTAGGTTCGCACAAGCGGCGTTGCAGAATATTCAGAAGCCTTCCACGAAGCACTCATTCCGGCCATGCGGTAGCACTTTCTGCTGTGTTCGCTCCACTTCTGCCCACCTTTTCTTCCCGTCGCTTGCCACTTGCAGTCTTGCAGCCTGCCTCCAAGCGGAGAGGGCCAAGGAGGAAGATGCAGAATGACATCCTGCATCGCCCCATAAGGCGCTGAAAGCTACCCAACTCGGCACTGCGAAAGCCTTGGCATCGAGAGATTTCTCGGAACACCTTGGGAAGTTCCGTGAACGCGCTCCAATCTCCCAGACAGGGGGTCGACCCCGGACTGCCGAACAGGGGCCCTTGTTGTAATTGGGCTGATAATGAGAAGTCCGGGGTTATCATAAGGCCACAGCTAGGAGTCGCCTGCAAATTTAGAACTCACAGGCCACCCTTCTCTGTAAAGGCCGAACCAAAAAACGCGTGCCACCCGCTATGCCAAATGTCAGTGTTGGCGTGAACTGGCTGGGGGGCGCTTGCAACTGTACAACGCTGAAGGCTTGAAAATCGTACTCGGCACGCTCGGTGGTTCGTAGAATGAGATCCTTCGTACCAGCAGCGCGCCGCACACGTGGGAATGCCTTCTAGCAGTTTCCGCGAACAGTCGAGCACCTGCGTTTTGTTGCACAGTGTTGAAACCTCTGGACACACAAGTTTGGGCACGCCCATCCTCCCCTTTCGATTGTAACATATCGAGTTTTTTGAGTTGATTATGGTCGATCCAAATCGCAATATCCACTGTCGAGGAGACACCCCCACGCAACAAAACCAGACGGGCTCTTCGAATTACCTCCACTTGCGGGGGTTCACGGGCTGTTTGGACGTGGATTCCCCGCAGGGCGCCGTCTCATTGGAGAAGGTCCCCGCATCGGAGGCCGCGTCCAAAGTGAGGAAGGTCCGGTCGACGCGCAGCACCAGGCCCTCCAACTTGGAACCATCGGCCTGCCAGGCCTCCTGACATTTCTTCAGCTTCCCTCGTTGCTCGGTGGTTTGGAGCCCGGTGGTTTGGTGGTTAAGGAGAGAGTGTCTCGTCTACACTCTACGTGCCTGAATACACTTAACATCTAAACAGAAATAACGTGAACATTTGAACTTGGGTAAGAAGGTACCTATACTCCTAGTCGGGCAAAGTCCACAACCTGACCCTGTGGTCTTGGAATGGCCCGAGAACTCTGAAAGCCTCTGTCCCGAGGTGCTTAGGGTACCCAGAAAGGTGGGAAGCACATCAACGACTGCAAGCGAGTCGGGCGGACCTGACAACTTCCACAAGTTTGATGGTTCTTTTTCCCCTTTGAGACATATTCAGTTAAGGGTGTGTCTTTTTTTGCCGCACCGCGTTCTTTTCCCAGTCAAGCTGCCCCGGATGCTAAGTACGGGGCCTGGCAAAATATACATTTAAGCAATGTCTGTTTGGGTAACTTTGAAACAAATGCCAATTTAGGACCCTGTTCCCAATGTTGACCCCTGATGAATCCCTAGAACTCCCTCGAAAGAAGCAAAATCCCAGCAAAAAAGGGCCCCGCGCGGGGGCTAATTAATCAGGTGTGGACCTTGGCCCTTTGGCTTCTCCCTCTCCTCCGTTTCCTCTTTGGCATCCTCGGCGTCGACCTCTACAGCGGAGGCCACAGGCCCACTCCTGGTTTCGGCGGGAGGGCAAAGGCTAAATAGTTACGCCTTGTTCATCGCCCACTGATTTTCTGAGTGGCCGGTGATGCAGCCGAGGCTCCACGCACCACCTTTTACTTTTTGGTGGAAATTATATTAGTTTTCCAACGAAACACATTGCTTCATGCGCATGGCTAAATATGTTTTTTAAGAGACCCCGCAGCCTCATTCTAATTTCAGGCCCGTATGAACTTGTTTTCGGCACTCAGGCAAGCAAGCTCTCTTGAGCCCTCTTTGAAACATTTTTCCGTAGAGCCAAAAGAAACAAGGAAGCTAAGCCTGGCTGAATGAACGACATCCCCGGAAACCAAAAAACACGGGGAAAGCAGACACCCTAACACAAACATATGATTGCATGTTGCAAAATCAAAGCAGGAAGCTGGAATTCCGGGCGCTCAAAAAACCATATGCGTGGGAACCTTCCCCCAACTACCTGCTAGCTGGCCCGTGAGGCATTCCTTCAACGCCCGTTGAAACGCGCTTCAAACAAACCAACACCAACAGGTGATCCTAATTTTTAAAGGGGGCGCGCAAAGCCGTGCTAGGGAGCAATTACAACAAGGGAATCCCGCACAGTGTTGTTCCACTTGGTCACTTAAAACACCTCACCACAGGTGTGTGTTGTCCTAGCTCAAAATGGGCACACTCCGAAACTTGCCGATTTTTTCCGCTCCAAAACCTAAAGTAGCGGTGCCCTTTGCCCTCGTCTGCAGAACTGCTGCCGCGAGGCTCATATTCCCCGCGCAGCCGAGGGCGACGCCGGCAAGGAAGAGCGGACAAGGCTTTCAGCACGCGGTCCTGACAGCAGAAAAGCTGGGCGTACCGGGGCCCGGATTCTTCCACGAGAATCCAAGGGAACTACAAACAAATGTCCCCCCGTTCCTGGATCCGATTTCAAGAGAAGCCGAGACTTTGAAAGGGTATATCTTTTGAAGCGCAATGGACTTTTTGCTTTAGACATCCCACGTGTTCATTTCTTCTGTTGCCTTCAAACTTGCAATCTGCCCACACACAACGTACAATCTGTAGCTACTTCTTGGTTCAGGCCTACATCAACTGGTGACCGGTTCATGGCTGCTAGCAAATGATTGCACCTGCCCTCAGCACAAGGAAGTTGGCCAAAGTTTGCTGGAGCCCGTGGTTGCACAACTCACCTCGCCATCGGGTTTTTTTCAGGTTGCACCCCATTCTTGGACCATTTTCACCTGGACCGTTTCTCTGAATTCCAGAAATTGGCAAGGCCATGGAAGCCAAAGAGAGTATCTCACTGGCTGAGTGGATGGCCCAGAAAAAGTTCAAACTTTATATTTGCCACTAAAATGGTCTTCCCAAAAAGTTTAAAGTTCATGAACTCAGGAAGTGAGGCATAGGGAACGGTGCAATGCCTTGTGTGTCAAATACGCCGGGGATTTGTTTTTGGGAATTCCAGTTGAATGGACAGGAGGGTACCCCCGCTTTTGAGCCAACCCTTCGCCTTGTCCCCCGGAAAGGCCAAGACATGGTGGGCGCGGAGCTCCAACTGCAAGGCCTGCGCAAGGCGAAACGGTGTGCCTGTTGTCATACCGTGGATGGACGAAATCCGTTCGTATCACTTTGAAACCATGAGAAACCAAATTGCTTGTTGGGCATTAGCAGGGGATTACTTTGGTGGTGCAGGATTTCGTCCACCCACAGTATCTCCCTGTGACTCAGTGCTGCAGGCAAGCATTCAAAAGCAGACTCTTGGGTCAGTTAGTATGGGGGGTGGGCACGTACCTATACCTGGGGGCTTAGTTTGTTTAGGTACTGTCTGGTCACCATGTGTCTTGGGTTGTCCCCATGTGAAGAAGGAAACATTCGGGATGTGATGCTTGTTCCCGCCCTGTCAACAGAAGCCCTTGCCGAGAGTCAGCAGATTGGGTTTGTTTCTTTGGGCTGGGCGTATTGGTAGTCAAAGGCTGGCAGAAGTTGTTCGTCAAAGTCTGCAGTTTATATCACACAGAAACAAGAGTCGAAGTTGGAATGCAAGCAACATTCGGCAAGAAACCCTGTATCGGCAAAGGTTGGCTTCAGCAGAAGGATGCTTCCCATCGCAATTCTCTAGACATTGTTTCGCACATAGTTGGGAAACGAAAAGTGCTTGGGTGTAGCTCCTCAGCTGAAGCGGCATACCAGAAATTAAGCACCCACACCAAAACCATTTCCCACATCCCCACGAATGGCTTCTTCTGAAGGCTGTCAAGTCGGGTGAATAGACTTGGACGCAAAGCGCCCCCGTTAAGCACGCAGGCCACTAAGTATGTCGTGTCTTGCAACAAGGGATCCAACAATCCAAGTTTGCCCTTCAGTTTCCCACAGGACCAACACCCACAAGAAGTAACCTCAACAAATGAGACACACCCAAGAGAGTACCTGAGCCTTCCTGGAGAAAGGCTCCAACTTCCAGCTGGGATCGGTCGATCGGTGCTGGCCTCCGCCTGTGCCGGCAGAAGCGGCACCAGCAGTACCGCCCCATTGGCCCAGTCGGGGGTGACTTCGCAGCCCGCCCTCCGCACGTCCTCGCCTTGGGCGAGCCGAGCGGGGGCAACAGGCAACCAAGGGCACAAAGATTCTGTCAGCTTAAGGATGTCGGCCATGTTTCGAGTACAAACATCTATTGGGCTGGGCTCTAGCAGGTCTTCGAGCAAGGATAGGAAAACAAGGTTGATGCAAGAAGGATTGCATCCAGAACCAGCACCATATCGTTTGAGCAGGCTGAGATGCGGGCAAGGCGCGGCAGTCCTCCAATTCCGGCGAAGTCAGCAGCATGTTCTTGACCTGCGCATTGCAGTGCGATAGTCGAAGAA